TCTAGGCTTTTTTTGGAATTTAGCTTCGTTCTGGCCACTCAAAGCAACAGCAAAAGTGGTGACATGTTTCGCAAATAATAGAGCCTGAATGATTCGTTGAAACTTGAAAGTCTGCAGTAAAGACTGACATTTACTTGGAAAAAGACCACAAATTGGTCTGTGTCGGAAAAAATCCAATTTGTATATAAAGTGTCCTCTGTTTTGAACATTTGTTTTATATCCTACAAAACAAGTTAATTATAAAGTAAGCTCAACAGCAAAAAATTATAAACATATATTTTCAAACAGGAAGAAGCCATCTAATAAACATCTTATTAGCCTCGTTTTTTCGGTCCGTACTGTAAATTACGGATCCTCGTTTTTTCCCCATCGATTTAAGCCCACGTACGCTAAGCATGAACAAATTCTTAAATTGCCATGGCAACCTTCCGTACGTCTCAGTGTCAAGATGGCGACGAAGTTTTAAAATATCATGAATGAAGATGCCAGCGCATATAAAGACGCTTTAGAAAACCTGTACACACCAAAGAGCACATCAAGAAGGATTCTAACAGGTATTTTGTCGAAAAATTCCAAACTTGAGTCAAATTTGAGCTCTAAAAGTTCGAGAGAGTGGAGTTCTCGATCGATGCGATCCAGGATAAACATGTAAAAAATCCACGATTGCTAACGTAATTCGTCACCCATGATATTAACAGGTAATCAAATGGTATACTCGTGAAATTAGGGAATAATTTCACTTGCGTTTTGTCCAAATCCTAACAATTATAAGGATTTGGACAAAACGCGCGTGAAATTATTCCCTAATTTCACTCGTCACCATTTGATTACACATACTAATTGTTTATTGTTATTATTATTGAGGATGTCTTATGATGATGATTATTTATATAATGGCCACCACAATAACACAGAAAAATCTTCTTCCTAAATCGTCTATACGTGTGCTCTACTATTCCTTACTTTATTCTTATTTTTACTACTGCAATATCGTTTGGGTTTCGACCTATAAAACCAATCCCCGCCGCCTTGTTATCCTGCAAAAGCGCATTATTAGAATTATTAATAAAGCACATTTCAATGCACATACTGAACCCATCTTTAAGGACCTCGGTATACTAAAATTTAATGATATCCTTTTGCTTCAACTGGGCCACTTTATGTATCCCAATGTATTTCACAGCGGAAAATACCATACTTCATAGCGGAGCTCCACGCGCGCGCGTAAGCGCGCGAGCGGAGCACCATAGCTAAGATAATTTGGTAATCTATCCATCCGAGAAAATTTGGTTATGACGTCAGCGTACGACTGTACGTTGACCGTACAGACTCTGGGAGAGGGAGAAGGGAGTCAGGTATCAGCCCGTCAGGGGAAGAGAATGTTTTAGATTAGCCCCATGGCTAAGAAAATTTGAAACAATACCAAGAGACTATAAAGGGGACAGAGAGGCCATCCCCCATATACACCCTATTCCATAGGTAATTCGTCTCGAGTTATTTTTAACACCACAGACCTCAAGGGGGATTAGACAACAGCCAATCACATAGCGCGCATGTGTTCCGCGTGGATGACCCACGCTGAGAGCCACGCGTCCTTCACGAAATGACGCAGAACAAAATGGGGGAAGACGCGGAGAGCGATTTTGCTATTCCTTTTGTCGACGAAAACGACTACAGCGAGATTTCTGCGAAAGCTGTGTCAGCGAAACCGAAATTAAAAAAGAATCGCCCTTCCTCTCTTGTATAGAGCTAACAGTAGAGCAGGGAAATCCTTAACACACTGAATATTCTCTCAGGATCATTTATAATTTACAGTTTGAAGAGAGCAATTTCTGGTTTGATGTTTATTTTTTTCAGTCTTTATAGCGATTATTCCTACCCACTTACTTTGTCAATTGTAGGCGAACCCTCCTAAAGCTGAATTTCAAGGGACCATATTCAAGCTCAGAAAGAGAAATAAAATTTCGTCGTTGCTTATTTACGTCCTCCATAAAACGCGAAATTAGGCATTTTCACGTCGTAGTCGTGCAAAAACGGGAAAGAAATGAACAAAAAAGTGTGTTGCACGTGCGAAGTTGTTGTTTTGCTAATTAAACCTATTGTTTTTTTGACGTTCTAGTTGTCGTCCGCGTCGTTGGATCTTAAACTCCCTAAATTGTACAAACGACCGGTTTCAATAGACCGGCGAAATTTCTCATTTTATTAAAGCACTGAGGTTACGACAACTTCGAGTTAAACTGATTTCACGGGTTGTCAAAGAGTCCAGCGATTCCTTTTTCCCAGGTGAGCGCCGACTCATTTCGCTTCAATATTCAGGAATGCTCTCGATCTTTTTACGCTTTCATTGCCTCTCGCCCGACATGTTTTGCACGGCGTTTGGTCATGCGAAACCTCCACGAAACATCCACGCCTCGCGCGAGGTAACTTTATCCCGATTCTAAAAATAACTCGAGACGAATTACCTATGGAATAGGGTGTATATGGGGGATGGCCTCTCTGTCCCCTTTATAGTCTCTTGACAATACTGAATGCAGGGCTGGCTCTACGGCAAAGGGCTGATTTATTATAAGCCAAAAGTAGCCTTCCTCAGGGCCAGAGCTATACCAACAGAAAATATCTTTTAACTGCTCCTAAGAAAATTTCGTTCTATCCATTGCTAGTAAGCTAGTGGAGGCTAGTGTGGGGTAATCTATTGTGCATTCATGTTATAATCAAGTGACAGCTGTCAAAACAGGGTATCCTCTGACCAGTATCAAATGACCTTATCGCGGGCTCAAGTTTTGACCCATTAATGTTACTTGTTGTTTTAAGTCTTCCGCTGACAAGTTTTTAGTTTTCAACTGATCGCAGGCTCAAGATTATTTTTTAACGCATACAACGCATGAAATAAGTTGTTTATGAGCCAACGGCCGAACTTCAGGCACGGCAAGTCAGCCTTTTAACAGGTAGGGAAGGCAGTTTCTAATTAATAAATTGTCTCTTGCTCCTTACTACCACAAAAAATTTGACTTTGTTTAGCATGGTCATGCGTTGGTCCCGCTCTACGTCCCATTCTTATCTCAGATTGGTCAAAATTTGACAGGTGAGCATGAGTTCACGTGGAAAATTTATGCAGCGGGTGGAAACTTGTTTACTGATAGCTTAAGCTGACAGAGTTTTGTTTCGTCTGATCTCATTATGTTTTATCCGTCTTTTTCCATTGGATCTACAAATGAAATACATCTGCTATCCAAATTTTTTGTTATTCATGGCTGGCATGTTTATTCGGTTTAAATTTTTGCTTAAGAAATGCTTCGCTTGAGAAAAAAATAATCAGAAATATAAGCTTCTCTTCGTACTTTACCTTGCTGGATGCGTGAGCAGGTCCAAAAGTCTTTTAAAGCGATTCTTACCTTACTTTATGGATTTTAGGAGCTGCATCTCGACTGGTAAGCTTGAGTAAATCTGATGTTTCTTTGTTTCGTTTTTTGGGGGGGTTTCATGACCTTTCATGAAGTCGAGCGTTGTTTATGCCGTCACTTTGCGCACGTACCTGGTGCACAACTTAAAAAGTCTTTAGACATTTTCTGATCACGACTAGAAAGAGAACGGTCTAAAGAATATTTACCCTATTGGTTTTAAAAGGAAAGCTTTGAAAGATATTCTTGCCTCGTGTTCATCTTAAAAAATAGCAAACACGGCAAAGCCGGGTTAAAACTTTGGCAAAAATCTGCAAGGTTTTATTCATCACTCAGGATTTTCAGGGACACGTCACATACGGTCTTCATTAATAAAGATTGTTTTCCTTTTAAATGTTTCGTTGAATTATACTTTTTGTTGTGATTGTTTGTCAAAATCCCTTTCTTATTGCTTGCAGGAGTACTCAAAATGCCGCGCTTATCAAATAGTTTAAAAGATTATGGTGTCTTAGAAGTAGAATGCAAACGAAAATCTGATTCCGAGAACGGCTTCCTACTAGGTGTGCTCGATTTTTTAAATAACCAGCATTGGTTTTATTTTGAACTCTATTAACGGGTACTGTTCATTTCCGACAGGCGACACAACTCGCATTGCAAGTTTGTGACGCCTGGCAAAATTAAAAAATCAGTCACACGGGTTATTTTGGAAACTGAATGACATGTAAAGTAAGATTTTTTTCCAAACGTTTTTGCTTAAAGCCCATTATTACCCTTCTTACTAAATATACTAAATTTTGGTGTACATATAAGACTATTAACTCGATGCAAGATTTGTTTCGCTCTTGGACTGTTTGAAAACTAGTTCCCTAAAATCACCCAGCCTCACCCTTTAAAGTCATATCGATCGATCTATCCAGTCTGATTTGTTCATAATTAACAAGTTTATGGTTTGATTTAAATTTTCAAAATTATTAACTGGAGCTACCCTTTTAGCCCTGGCTAAATCTACACAATCTATATCTGTAACCTAAACTATCCTGACTGTTGCATTTTATCTGTTGTTCTTTTCATAATTTGCACCTGCAAAATTTCATCAGCTTTGCGAAAATTTGCGGCATACTTGCATGCAACGGCAAGTTTCGCTAGCTAAGGATAGTTTAGACTGGTAACTGTTTTTTTTTCTGTGATTAAGAGTTTGTATATTAACGAGAGGAGATAAAAGGTAAGGTGGAAGGACTCTTTCATCACAGCACAGGTTAGGTTCTAGCGCAAGCTTCCTAGTCAACACCTCTTAGATTACAGTGGAATCTCGATATAACAAACCTTTTAATTAATAACAAACTACAAAAAGTCCGCGGTATGACGATATTTTTCGCCCACAATAATAGTAAAATGTATGAAAAAGGACCTCGAAATAGAACCTCGATATAACGAAGGACCAGGCAACTGGGACTGGCGAAATTTGTCCGCTCGAATGAGGTTTCGTTTGTCGAGGTTAACACCGAACCTTGATATAACGAGTTTATTACCAAAAACTAAGTTGTAGTCCGAAGTTCAAGTTTTTCAACAACCCACCGTATAAGCCATGTAAGTCGCTTTGTCTCAGAAATCACCTGGTTTACAGCCGAGAACTTCATTGATGTCGTCGAAGTACGGAAAGGTTATGCGATCGTTTCCGCTTTTGTTGTTATGATCCTTGATCTTTTTAAATTCATCTTCCAAATTCTTAATCTTTGCTTTGCACTGCTGTAAAGTACGAACGCAGCGAAGATTTTGCTCCGGAAGCATCTGATTTAACTGCTTTGAGATGCGTTCCGAAACAGAGGAGTTGTGTCTCTTACTGATAGGAAAATATTCGTTCCACACAGAGATCAGTAATCGCACTTTTCGGGGGCCTAACGGCTTGCTGCTGGATTCCTCGCTATAATTTCACTTCCACTTGACTTATGTGGCTTGCAACGGACTGCACTTGTGGCCCAGGAGGGAGAGCGTCTCGCTGAATTTGCTGCCAATGAGGGAAAATCATCGTACGTCGTGGGATGATCTGGTCGCCATCGGATGGAAGCACAAACGGAGTCGTAAGCCAAATAATGGTTTTTTAGATACGAAGTCGGTCTTTTTGCATATGCAATGACATAAAAATCCGTAACTAAAGAAAAAACTACCCAGCTTTGATTCGAAAAGTGTGGAAAATTGAAATCGAAGTTATGATATGGATGGGCCATGGCAAGCTTACGGCGGGAAATGCAAATGAATACAAGGTCCATTAACCCTACAAGTTTATCAGTTGTTTGACCTCAGGCGCCATGTGATTGGCTGAAGTTAATCACCGACAAGTTTAAGCGACCTGGTACGACAAGTTTAAGCAACCTATGGAAATTTCATTGAAGTTTGCCCACTAATTTAACTTTAAGCGAGTTGGACAAACAACTGTTTCCACAAGATTTTCGGTCGTCATTCGCTTAGCGAAGTGAAAAATCGCTCGGGGAAAAAACGACCTTTGTGAGTTGTTTTCTTAATTTGGATACTGTGAAACGAGTGTCTAATTTATGCGACTTATTTGAGCTTTATTGTGAGATACTCACAAAACTATTTTTTGCGTAGCCTCGTTCAATTTTACTTTTTTTGTGGCAGCACGAAAATTCTTAAGAGTTTTATCCAGGGTACTATGTCGCTATAATTATCGATTTACATCCTGCCAGAACTTAATATAAGAAAATTAAAATAGTCTGGGTAGTAGAATTCAATTTGCGTTGATGTTAGAAGTAAATGCGGGGAAGAACATGTACAAACGCGGTCGAGTATTATATAATGTCCGATCGGCCCATCCCTCCACCACAAAAAAAAAACAAAAACAAAAAACACACACACACAAACACCTCTTATATGAGGTATGGTGCAGAAAGGGCGGTGGTGAGTCGATCATGTCACGGTGCACCCCGGAACGAAAACGGCGATATCGCTGGTTATATTCTCTCACGACACAAATTCGTAGTCACAAGAGAATTAGTGGAAATATAAAGAACGCTAGGATTGTGGATGGGATTGCTATTGTTATGGAAATATTCTTGACTAATTTTTAGTATTGAGAATAGTTGCTAGTTAAGATATTGGAAACTGAAGCGCCTCCGCGAAAGATTGCATCGAATTTATATGAAGAGGTCCTAAAAGATGACTTGAACGACTCAGATTTATTTAGTACAGTTTACAAGAGCACAAACATTAAACTCTGCAATTTAATGCAGGATTTAACACAAATTTGTTATTTTGTGAGTTAGGGTTGATGGGATCATGACGTTCTTATTTTCTATGTACTAAGCGGTAATCTCGACAAAAAGGAAAAAAATAAGGTTTTCCTCGAAGCACGTTTTGGAGCAAAAATAGAACCTTATCTATGACTCAAAATGCACATTAAAAGAAATATATTGCACAGCAGGTGGACTGATTATATTCGTCTACTAATTGATTTTTTATGTCGATTGCACATTGTCAAACAGCATTAAAATAACGAAAATTGCACACCATATAATTCGACGTGAGTGTTTCTAGCTATACGTTGGTGCAATTGTGATACAGTCTCCTCTGTTTTTTTTCAGCTTTGCATTTTTATACATCAACCGCAGTTCAAGCGTTGGTTAAGCTTAACTGTTCATAGCCCGGCAGTGTTAGCTTGTGTTCAAAAATTTTCCGCAAAAATGACACTACATTATTTTTTATCGGTGTTACCTAATCGGTAGTTTTAATGAGATTTTTCTATGCGAAAATATAGTCGCAGTATCCTCACAGCTAAACCGATTCGTTTACCGTTGGGAACCTAAGAGGGCCGTTTTCTTATTACCATTATTTTTTTATCTATCTCAGCTCAAACACTGAGTGTAAAAGGTACATGTACAGATTACCATATTGACAATGGAATATTTAATTTAATATTTGTGTTTTTTCGGAAAAGCCGGAAAACAATATTAATACACTTGATTGACTGCTGGGGCTAAGAGGGTTGTTATATCTGAAAGGCAATAATAGCCGAACTTGAAACTGACGGGGAAACTGAAAGTTGTTTTCAACTAATTCTCTCCCGCACAATAATATTTGTTACAGAGTTTACTGAATCAAATGAATTTCATTTCAATCATTTGAATTGTTAGGACAGGTTGTGTATACATTAAAGGTATAATCATGACAGGAGCGATATTTTAATTTTGACAGCCTTTAAATTAAATGAGATTTCTGCCTTTTAAGTATCTACCCGACATGTCCGACATCAGTACAAAGAAAATGACTTATGCATGATTGACAGTCATCCTTGAAACATCCCGTTTTTACTTCTAATCGGTAAATTGAATGTTTGACTGAATATCGAACTTCATCACGCTTCAAGTATGATCCTTGGGCGTTTTAAAATCAGGCCACCTAAACCGTACTTGGCTAACAAGTCTACTGTGGAATAGTTATTCACAGTTCCCCAGGTGGAAATCAAGTCGGTTTATTGCACAACCCCGACGTAGCTGACTGAGGCAATTTAATCTCTCATATTTATATGCTGGGACACTGAGCACTTCATCAGTTTCTCTTTTTGGGATCCGGGAAATACCATATTGCTTGGCTTTTTTTTCATTCTCTCCTCCAGTGCTGGTTTTTGATGGTAATACGCTGCGTTTCTGTGGCTTAAACAATGAAGGGAATTATAGATTTGAATGGAGACCTTAAAGAGCGAAAACAAGTGGTGGTAATAATTGAAACACTTGCCTACCTTCTGATTATTACGTTCACAGTCATTGGAAACTCATGTGTTCTTCTGGCAGTTTATAAGAATGCACGGCTACGTACGATTCCCAACTTTTTCATAGTCATCCTGGCTGTGTCCGACATACTCCTTCCACTGACATGTGCCCCTCAGTCTATTGTAACGACGATTCTCGGACGCTGGCCATTCAATGAATATGTTTGCCAAGCGCAAGGTTACTTTGTTATAGTAATGGCTTGTGCATCACTACAGACATTAACACTGACTGCAATCAATCGATTCTACAGAATAGTGCGAACCAGACATTACAGAAGGGTCTTTACCAAGAAGAATACCATTTTTATGATTGCACTTTGTTTCGGCTTGGCTTGCCTGGAGCCAATTCCGTATCTGTCTTCTGGAAGACGCTACGTGTTTCATCCTGGAAAGCTGTTTTGCTTTCAGACGAATGAAATCTCAGTTCCACATTTCATCGTCTATCTTTACGTTGGCGTACCAACCGTCACCCTTAGTATTTGCTATTTTCTGGTCTTTAAGAAACTTCGAGGCCACCAACGAACTGTTCAAAACAATCTACAGTTGGCTTCTAAGTCTGAAGAGATTTCTCAGAGGGATGTTAGAGTGACCAAAATTCTCTTTATCACCGTCCTCGGTTTTCTTTCTTGCTGGACCCCAATAGCCATTATAGACTTTGTGGACACGTTTCGAGGGGAAGCTTCATTTCCGAGGGAGGTGTACTATCTTTACCTCCTTCTTGGAAACTTATCGGGTTGCATAAATCCGATTGTATACGGATTGCTGAATAAAAACTTCAGAGACGAGTATAAAAATCTATGTTTCTGTACGACTAGGAGACAGCGAATTGTTAATGTACAAGAAACCTCAACTATCGCATCTCTAAAAACTAGCTCGCTGTAATTCAAACCGTTATAATAGACTACTTTTAAAGTGTTACTTTCCTTCACTTAATTTAAAATTCAATTCATTACAACTTTAGAAGAATGGAAAACCCTTAGATATTGGTTTCTAGAGTAAACGTAAACTAGTCGGGAATGTTAATTGGTGAGCTGGTGATGAGTCGGGGTAGATTTATTGCATTTATGTAATATTTTGCTAATTATAGACCTTAATAGCCTGGGGTTTCCTCAATTACTGTAACTAAGTTTTATTCATTCTTTTCGCTAAGAAATACTTTGAACCTTAAATCAGGTCATATTAATATTTTTTGCTAACCATAGAAATATATACAAATATATATGCCAATATATATACGACCGTTTCTGAGCATTCTTATGACCGCACCTGTAACTGAAAGTCAATAATTCCATGATCTTGCAATCGTTTTTATCTTTTTTTTTTTTACCGTAATAATTTCTTTTTGACAAACCCAAACAACCTTAATTTTTTATCAGTGTATTCAGCGTGTTCTGGTCCTCAATTAAGAATAACAATTGTTTATAATATTTAAGGGATATCAGTTTGGTTAAAGGTAAGGCTAATTAAAAACAAGCTACAGAGTACAGTCAGTCCGGTGTTGATAGTTTTGAGGCTAAAAAGAAAATTAAAAGCTCAGATTTGAATAAACTTTTCAGACTAGGTTTTAATGCAACAGAAATTTTTTATTAAAAGCAGCTTACCATCGAGACCTTTTTTTTTTTCATTCACATCGGCTTTTCCGTTTTTAATTTAAATTAAATGTTTCTTTCACTTTCACGAAAATTGTATGTAATAACTATATTTGTATTGAATCATTGTTGGATCATCGATGAGTGCAGGTGAAAAGGGAAATTTAAAGCAAACTAAAATTATACACTGATGCAAATGGTAAATTTGTTTATTTTAGCAGTGTAAGACTGATATCATTAACTTGCAAAGCACTGCAAAACCCAGCTTCCTTTGTTAAAGTTAAAAAGGTCTACCAAAGGTGGAATAAATATCAGTGACATGCATGTAAGTTTAGTTTGTCTAGACAATTTATGCCTAGTAACTTCCCCTTGTTCTCATGTTAATAAGTCTCATAACGCGCATCTGTAAGCCTTCCAGATCCTCAGTAATGTATGACCGAACGGATGCGTGTTTTGTAAACAGTCATGAGGTGCTTGGTTGCGACGGTTGCCCCTAGTAACTTGGCGAAGTAGGGCCTTGCGGAGACCTTGAGGGGAAAAGTATTTTAAAATGTTATCTATCACTGAAATAAAAAAGTAGTGTCCTAAGCTTAATTTGTGTTTTTTAGTGGGTCCCACTGCCGTGATATCTCTCCATTGCATTCTGACTAGCAATGATCTTGATCTAGCTTGACTCTCTGTATGTGATATTTAACAAATTCGATGATCCAGCTTATAAACACCATGTGTGATATCCAAGGCCATGAATTTTCCATAACGGAATTGTGTACGTAATTTATTAAAAACTTACTGTAGTCACACAAAACAACACGAACAGTGTATTCGATTCGGGGTTAACTATACTGAGTAACGCATGGGTCGGAGAGGACTTGAGAATGAATCCAAGTTGGCTATACTCGACTGTAAAGTGTGACGTCACAAAAAAACTTGTAAAATTATCGGATTTTTCGGGGTATAATGAAAGAACAACTCCAAAAGGCCTGCTTGCCAAAAATTAGCATTCAAGGGCAAATTCTCTTTGAGATATTATTCCAGTTATGCCCTGATGACTGCACTCAAATCCTTGTAAATTTGACTCCGTTCACAACATTAAGTACCGAGTCAAATTTAGAAGGATTTCTGTGGAGTCATTAGAGCAAAACGGGGCTAGCATCACCGAGACAATTCTCCTTGCTCCTCGCCGCTAAGGACTTCCTTCCTAACGAAACGTCCTTAGCGGAGAGGAGCGACGAGAAACGGCTGTATTCGCTGGCTACAATTTGTCCCACATTGCTACTTTTAGACAAGTGGGCCTTTCAGATGTTGTTCTTTCAAAATATCCCAACAAATTCCAAATTTCATAAATTTAATTTTTATGACGTCATCACTCAAGAACTCTATAACCGATCTTCGAAACTGGCTAAAGGAGCTATTGCGAATGTCTCTAACAGGATCCATTAGAAGATCAGCATTCTCTTTCATTAGCTATGGGATTAGGATTTCATTAGCTGGGATTCGAATCCCAGCATAACTAATTTAATATATAAGCTATCCTTGGATTCGACGATAGAACTTAGAGAACTAAAAACTGCAGCAGTCTGTGGCACATACATGAGAGACACAACGAAACAAAATCTGGATCCAGTAGCGGGGAAATAACTTCATGAAGGCTCCGAAACGGTGAAACAAAGAACTTTATTAAGGCCGGGTTCAGATGCCGAACTTTTCATGAGCCGAACCTTATGCATTGAATATAAAGTACATGAAAAGTTCGGCGTCTCAATCAATAGCGCTGCGCACAGTTCACAGAAACGTGACCCCCCACCCACCGAGACTCAGACAAACATTGGCCATTTCTGCTAGAGGTCGCAAGAACGTTGCATGGAAACGTACAGTTTGCGATCATTTCTGCTCGCAGTTTAGCGTTTTTAGGAGCGTTCCAGTTTCGAAATTCGAGGAACGTCCAGGAAAATGTAATGTAGAACAAATCAAAACATTGTTCAAGTGCAAAGGATTGAAGCATCTGTGGAAAACGAGAGAACTTTTAAACGCCGTTTCTCGATACCTTATTTGCAGCCCAGCCGGTAAATGTCTTTCATTCTCATGAAATTCTTTAAAGAAAATTTGATAATTATTTAGAAATTTCGATTTCTGTGGCGAAGTAGAAAGAGTCGTAGTCGTATTTGGGTCGGCCTTATTCGAATTAGGTTCGGCTCATGAAAAGTTCGGCATCTGAACCAGCGTTGAATTATTTTCGAGACATTTACCTGTTGTAAAAGTAAAATAGCGCGGCCTAAACTACATCAGAACCGGCCGTACTTAACATCTATTAACTGCTGTAAGGTACTTATTACTATTATTATTATTTTTTAACTTGTGAAGGTCATGTTAAACAATTTTACACATTTGAATAAACACTCCACAGGTTGTTTATAAACAAGAGTTAAATATGCCTGTGTTTCTGATCATTTTTGTTGTTCGGAAAGAAGTATCAAGTGCAGCCGTTAAGCTTTTCTTTTAATTATTTTTACGTGGCTAAAGGAAAGTGGCATCACAGATTTGTTGATTTAAGGTTTGGGAAGTTATAAATTTTGTATGTTACCCAACTATCATTTTAGTTTGATGATCTAACCATATTGCCGATCATATCATTTAACTTAAAACCGACCCTCCGATCCTCTAACGAAAGACCAATTCATTTCGAGAATATAAGAAACCGCGATTAAAAAATGTAAATATTTGTAACTACAGTTAGACCACAAAGGCTCATAAACATTTGGAGATCAGACAATGAAACTTAATACTTGAATGAAATTGTTTTGATCTACAGAAACAGGTAGAAGTTTAAGTGTCATGTTATTGTTTTGCAAAAGACACCTGAGCGTAAATTACTCAGGCCGTTGTCAACGATTTTAAAGACTTCGCACTAAGGGGGAAAAGTCTTGGCGATGGCGTTTACAGCCAAAACAATACTTCTTATTATAAGCTCTTCGGTGTCCGCAAGTAAGACGTCAAAACAAAGTTTAAAATTTTACATTGCTACTTAGTATTCAAATTATTTATCTTCCAAAAATCTGATAACTTAAGGCGATGTTAATGTTCTTAAACACACAGGGAGTACATGGAAATACGGAGACAGTGATGGAATTCACGGAAGTAAGTCCTTATATGTATTCCTTTTCGCAATTAACTATATTTGATTAAACTATCAGTTCAGCTGTTCTTAAATGATGGAAGGACTGATTATTATTTTCAAATTCGCAAAGAATGGAGTGCTTGAAACAGTTACATTGCACCAAGCTTCTTGTTTATCACTTTACGTTCCATTCCGGTGTTGATTTCCTAGCCTGAGGTTCCTTTCAGAGCTTAAAAACGGCATCCCCCATTTGGTGAAATTACGGCGTACGAGTATTTTGTCATTTCTACTGTGATTTGCACCTCTTTAAGAGGTTAATACTCTCAGGGACTTGGAAACGGGCTCCCTTTTGTTTGCTGAAATTGCTAAGAGCATTTTCATCTTGTACAGCACTTTAATTTTGTCTTCCTAAGATATAGATAATATCATTGCCACAAGACATAGATAGTATACTATTTACAACAGTCCCACGCCCCTCTCCTATTATAAGGAATGGGAGGTCTGGCGGCCTCTCCGGATGAAAGATACAAAGTAACCCGGAGTAACATAGAGTGGGCCGGTGAGGCGGGAAGAGAAAATAAACATTAACTCTGTGGATTTTATCCTCTGTGGAGGATAAAAACAATGCGGCCGCCGAGTAGATCCTTTTGGCTTATTTTAAAGTTTTCCGTTTAACATTAAAAAACGTTGAACTTTTATTTCGACAAAAACAGTTTAGATGAAAACAGGATTCTAGAAAACTCTCAAAAGTAAGTCTCCTAATCGATTTAAGCTTGCAAAGTCGGTCAGTTTATAAGCAACTTCTCAACTTCTGAATCAGTTGTCACTCGCTTCTGCTTTGAAAATGAAGGAATAATTACTCAGAGGCAATACAGTGTGAAGATTTGTACAAAAAAATGCTTATTTATGACGGAAAATGTACTTTGAACGCGGACTGAAAAAATTTAAAACGCTCTGGTCACGTGGCTGATGACGTCATGTCCTTCTTTTAATCGTTGAAAAAATTATCAGGTAAAACATTACTTTCAGGGCCCGGATGTTCAAACGTTGGATAGCGCTATCCACCAGATAAATTTCTATCCAGAAGTTAAGTATTAGGGAAAGCAGTTGCGCTATCCAGTGTATAGTTATGTGACTGATGACGCTATTACCCTAGATGTGACATGGGAAGATATTTTATGGCAAATGTTATTTTGTTGTGGTCCGACATTCTTCTAGGTATAAAATTCTCTAAGTTAAAAAGCTTTTTTTTTTAAATTGCGTCAAAGGATTCTGGGAGATTTTTTTATGATAATTATAACTTACTTTCTTAGTTATTATTGTTTGTTCGCATAAATAAAGTATTTAGGTATAAGAATCTCAGTCAAACTTGGGTTTTACAAGCAATGAGGGAGATACATACGGTAATCCTCCATAAAGTAACCAATTCAAGTAAATTGAAATTTAACATTTTCATTGCATTCAACCAAAAAAAAAAATTTACTCTTTGTTCCTAAAATTTTATGGCTTTTGCTTTTCCCCATCTTCACCTTTTTGCTTTGATTAGATGAATAAATAGATAAAAGAAACAAAAATCAGTTATTCCCATTAAACTGTACGGTTCATATATAATTATTTCAAATTTGAATTCCATGCCTGTAATGTTGGTGCTGAAAATAATTGCATAGGGATTACATATGAGTTAAAAAAAAAGGCCGTTGACGTGGGGGATTTGCTTGAAATTACCGTTCATCCTTTCTCGGTCATAACTGTATGCTATTCTTTGGGCACACAGCTTACGGCCCTGAAGCATGGGGAAATGTTGCCAACGCGTGCCGACAATCTAACCAATCACCAATCGATATTGTTACCAAGAACGTAGAGGCAGATGCTTCTCTGGGAGAGCTAGATATCACGTGTGATAACGATAAAGGCCTGTTTAATGGAATTCTGCTTAATGACGGACACGAACCGGTCTTAACGGTCGACAAAACACGAGGCATCTGTAATTTGACTGCCATCCCTTCATTGAACAACAAAGTTTTTCAACTTCATGATTTGATCATCCATTTTGGATGCGAATCGGACAGAGGCTCAGAACATACCGTAGACGGAAAAAAATTCCCAGCTGAGGTAGGCCGCACTTTGGTCTTAGTTGTTATCGATTTGTCTGCACTATCCTGCAGACTGGGATTTTTCTTGCAGAGTGCTCTTTAGGTCAGTACTTAGCTTAAACTTTCTCAGCTAAAATTTTAATCAAACTACTCAGGTTTATGTTGTCGGTTTCACAGCACACTGTCCTCAATATCTTGAAAACGAGCTCATTTTTTTTTTGAGAATAGTGTTCGGTGAAAGTGGCAACTTAAACCTGAGTAGTTTGATTGCAATAGGTCATTTGCAAGATGGCGTCGTTTTACTACTACGACCACAATCCTTTTCGTTTTTCCTTTCATATTTAAATTTGTAATCCCAGCGAGGTTTAAATAACAAAAGACCTAATTTGCACAAGAAAGCAAAACCCTGAAGGATTCTGGTTGTAGTAGTAAAATGACGTCATCATGCAAATGGCCTAATGCAACTATGCCATGAACCTTGTTCAATTCAGCCCTAATAGAAAGAATACTATTATAGAGCCTTTTCACTCACGTGGCTTGCACCTATGCAAATATGTTACAAAAAAAGCCAGAAGTTTTTACTAAAGGTCGGTACACCAGGTGACAAGTTGCAGCAACATGTCGCGACGACACGTCGCAGCGAAAAATCGCTTCCTGTGTACTGGATAATTTTTTTTAAAATCTATGTCTCTGCAACAGAATTTTGTCGCAGCAACATGTTGCAAAAAATAAAGACTGAATTTGTGCGACTTGTTGCGGCGACAAAATTCTGTTGCAGAGACAAAGATTTTCACAAAATTTCCGCAGTTAACACACGAAACGATTTGTCGCTGCGATGTGTCGCGGCAACATGTTGCTGCAACTAGTCGCCATACCTGTACACACGGAGTGATCTGTCGCCGCAACTTGTCGCCTAGTGTGTAGCGACCTTAAGTAAAAGGTTCAACCTACACGAAAAAGGCGAATCCTTATGTTTACTTTTTTTGCCTCATTAGCATGAGCTTATCATTATCTGATGAAGCTAACAAAATAGAATCTCTAAACTAATTGAAATCCTCTCTAAACTTTGAAATTCTCTTTGACGTTAAGCGGGGAAAAGTGAATTTAGATGGATCAAAGGTAAGGTCAGTGGTGTATCATGAGTAGCAGGAAACAACAATATGGTTGAAAATGATACGTTTTCAGTCGAAACACTTTTTTAAAAAAAATTGACAACAGAAGGCCTAAACTAGATCGGCGGCAGCTTGGGTAGTTTCAAATATTTATTAATAAGTCAGTAAAAAAAAAAATTTTCATGTCTTTGCAATAAGAGGGTGAAATCAGTGTCTCACGCTTCAACTGCACATGTCGATTCAACTATTCTGGCGAAGGAAAAATGTAAACAACGACGTCACGATGTATCTACCAATAAGATATGATGTTTCAGCTTTTAAGGTTTTGGATTCCTGTTTAGTCCACTTAGGGATTTCCGCTTGATGATGATTATTATTGATGATTATTATGATTATGATTATGATTATGATTGATGATTAAGCCGTATGCTATTTCGTAACTTCTCAAAATTATACTAAGTTTTCAAACAAGAATTAGAAGTGTAAATGTTTTGTCTCTTTACAGTTGCAACTGATGTTTTTCAACACGGAGTATGGAAGTTACGAAAATGCAGCCCCATTGCAAGATGGTCTAGCAGCGATATCAGTACTCATTAAGGCAAGTCGAACTTATCCCAGTTCAAAATAGTTCTAGACCAGTGTTTCAGAGAGATAAAACCGGCAACTCAGTAGTTAATTACTAATTATTAACTACTAATGATTAATTTTAGGTAGGGAAGTCCAATAATGAAGCTTTGGATAGCATTGTTGATCAAATGGATGATGTTGCAGTAGAAGGTTTGTTACTGATGTGAAGAAGTCTTTTACATTAATTTTATTGTGCAACAGGCAAATAACTTTGTTGTCCTAGAGGTTAGAGAGGATATATTTAAGCCATGCAGTTTAGTGGGATGTGAATTTCGTTATTACCGTTATTATCAGGCACAGAAATCACAGAAAATCTTCCAGAATTTCTTGAACGATATCTTAAATTACGATCATATTCGAAAAATGTTGTTAGGTAAATTTTAGGAAATGTCCCTTTCAATGATATTGGCAAGCGAGGATAATGGTCCCATTACTCTGTCTTGATATTGGTGAAAGCTTTTTTATAGTTGTAATATGTTATATTCCCCGAAGGTGGAGCACTGCACCACTTCGCATCACTATTGATAAATAGGTTAATTGTGCAATACTTTGCTAACTAAAGGTGTATTGAATTGCTTTACATGACTTAACAGGATCAAGCATCCCCGTTTATACTCCAGCTGACAATTTGACCTTGGCTGACCTTATTCCTGACCTTGCGAAAGAGCATGCGCCTTACTACACTTATAGGGGCTCCTTAACTACCCCTCCCTGCTATCAATCCGTGCGATGGATTGTTATGAAGAACCAGATAATGTTTACTAAAAATCAGGTATTTTTGTTTAGCTCGTTATTACTCCTCCTTCTACATAAAAAATTTAAAAAAATTTCTAACATTTGCTGATTTAGCTTGCATTTAATTTAAATGATCATGAGCTGTAAGATCAACAGTGATCTGGATTAACAAATATGTTTACAAATTTTTTTACACGGAAAAAAATCTTCAAAAGTCGTTTTTTAAGATAATAATGCTAACTATATATTAACTCAACGAAAGACTACATGAAAAAAAAAAAAAAAAAACTTAAATAAAAAAAAAAAAGAATAAACAAGGTCAAAAAAGGAAAAAAAACAGACCAGAGGAAAGATAAAAAAACACCACCAACCCCTTCCTATCTTTTTTTCACCACTTGCGTTCAAAAGTCGTTTTTTAAGATAATAATGCTAACTATATATTAACTCAACGAAAGACGACATGAAAAAAAAAAAAAAAAACACTTAAATGAAATAGAAAGAGAATAAACAAGGTCAAGATGGGAAGAAATCTGGACCTGAGGATAGTTGCAAAAACTCTTCCTTTTCTTTCTTTTCTTTTTTCACAGCTTTTGGGTTTCAAAAAACTGACTTCCAGGAAAGGCTCCGAGTGTGACAACTTTCGGCCAACCAATCCACTGAATGGTAGAAAAGTGGAAGCTAATTTCTGAGAAAGTTATTCTCTCATACAGATACCGAGGCTTCTTTCTGCTCTGATGATCATCCCCGGTTATAACTCCTGAGTTTTGCCCTGGCCTTAGAGTATTATACCTAACTGATAAGCTCTTAGTCTTCTCTTCTTTGCAGAAGGTCAGCCAACGTAAGGAAATCCAAGGCAGTCTTGGATTCTGGATCCCAGGCTGTGGATTTCGGGTTGCAGATTTCTTGTCAGTGGAACTTGGATTCCGGATTCCAATCGTTAACGGGATTTCGGATTCCTTTAGCTGAATTATGGATTTCAAAGCCCAGGATTCCGGAATCTACAGACGAATTACTTTCACAGATTCTGCAATCCACAAGTAAAAATTCCCCGGGTCCTTGAAACTGGATTACCTTACATGGCGCGAAGAAGGTCACGTGTCCGGCTGCTGACCTCATCAATGCACACGAATGGTTTAAGTGGTTATCGGTTTTATCTCTTATCTACTAAAAACGATTACTATTGACAACTCTTCCGTACACTGCATTTACTAAATTTCACAAAGCTTTTCTAATCAGCGAAGAAATTTCCCTCGAGGATGCACCTGAGAAGACCGTGTCTCAGGTCACTTATTTTCCACAAACGTAACTTAATGGAACTGATGTGGACTTGTGACGTGATAAGCTTCCAATGAATCTTTTATCAGTATAACTTCTAAAAGGAAAGGTCATCAGCCAAGGAACTGTAGGATATATTTTCGGAGATCTCCAGGTTTTCTCCTCACATTTGGACATTTTGATCAATCGTTCGATTTTCGATTTTCGCAAGCGAGTGATTCGTCCTCAAATCACTCAGAAGTTCTCAGAACCCAGAACTAGTAAGCTTTTTTTTTTTTCTCTACATCTTTATTTAATGCTAATAGATAAACAAGACAAGATAAAATGTAATTACGCTAGCCAGACTTGAAACGTCTCCTAGGTAAACATTTAAACTACAAATATCTGATTTAGGTATGATTAAACAATCTTCAAGACAACACTTAAAGTTCTTTGGTTCAGTTCATAAAGTTACAGGGGGAAATATAGTAACTTAAAATCGATCAGACTCGTTGTTCAGAAAAACGTACCTGCTCTTGTACAGTATGACAATTGGAACACCGGCATGGCAAAACGAACCATACCTTCCATTTTCAGCTGGATTTCGACAATGAATACGGACAAGTTTGTAATCGTCACTAGTATCTGTGTTAACACAAACACGTTATTCTTGTATGAGAGCTGCAACAGTAAACTTAACTTTCCAGCGGACAGTGGGCAGCCTTTGACGATTGCTTAATAATTTGACTGCTAGAGGGCAATTTCCTTATTACCCGGGTGATATAGTGACCTCTCGATGGCGTCGAAATCCACTTTAATATCCTTCAATTCACTGAATCCCTTCCCTTCCAACTTACTGCCATTGAGTTCAAACCCAGGATCAAAATTATCACCCCTTTTGTCAAGGTTCTTGAATGCCTTGGCCATGGTGGCAAGTTCGTTCCTTTTTGCAGAGTCGCCTGCGTCAATGTTTTCCCCTTCAATGCAGTCATCGCTTGTTTCTCTCAAGAGTTCGCCGTCTTCTTTATCAAGAAGCTCGTCGTCTGTGGTTTCATCAACGAGACTGTTAAATGATGGTACATTATAATATTCCCTGCTTTCATCTAATACGCTAAAATCCAGGTAAGGGTTATCCTTCTGCATCATCACTTCCAGTCTCTCTCTTATCTGCGTAAAGTTTGGTCTGTCGTCAGGTGATTCCATCCAACAATGCGTCATTATCTCGTAGCTAAAACGAAATCAAAGAATGTAATTAACTGAGCGTTCAGCCCGGCCTTGAAATCCATTCAAACGGAATGATCCAGCATAATAAGCAACATTATCCAACATTGTTGAATGCAACAATTGTTAACAGCTTTTAAAAGTCGCGTGTTATTAAAAAGCCCTGAGTAATACTTGGAACATGACCCGTAGAATAATCTAAGTACAGAGTTAGAACTTACATTTCATCATCGCAGATATCTGGTTTCTCCATACGATAGCCAGTTTTCAAAAGGCGAAGCAGTTCCCTATTGCTTATTGTCGGATATGGCGTACCACCTGAATACGAGCGAATTAGAATTAATCTTTGTCCTGAAATAACTTTAAAACATACAATAAAAGAATAAAATTGGGGAAAAACTAATAATAAAAGCCCCTCCTGATCGAAATTCAAGAAATTTATTTCGAAAAAAATTAATCTAGAATTTTCAGATACAACCCACTCTGTTGCAGTGTGGAAACTAGTTCATGCAAGCTGTAAATTGTGCAAATCATGATAGAAACTTGTCTAATCTGAGAATGTTTGAAACCCTTTTAATAACTAGTTTCAACGTTCCCCAGAAAAAAAATTAAAAGACGTAGTGATAAGATGGGACAGACCGAAACTGGTGCTACAGGGAAGCGAAAGATTCAGTTCAAATATTGGTGGGTGAAGAATTCAACGGCAAGTATCTCTAAAAAAACAGTTCTTAACCGATGGTATTTCAGTTAGTGCTTAGGAAACACAACTAACGAGTGAAAAATATGCGTGAAAACTCACCAAGTGTGACCAACTCCCATAAGAGAACACCAAAGGCCCACCTAACAATTAACAACAAAAACAATAAGTCCAAATACCCAGTGAAGCGTTACATACGACAGGGCGCGCCTCTTTGCTGATAAGTGAAAGAACAATAATGAGACGAATGGTAAATCTTAATTTTTGCAACGTATCTCATAAAGCAATTAATAAAAGAATTTCAGTATACCGTACTCGTTTAATATCGGTGGAATGAATGGCACTTTTTGGTTAGTCACCACTGATGTAAATTAATCCAAGATAGTTTGGATACGTTTGCATAGATTCTGGATTCAACACCGTAGATTTCGGATTCTAGGTACTGGTACTGGATTCTCATGGAACTTGGGCTTCGGATTCCAATCGTTAGCGGAATTTTCCTGGATTCCTTAAGCTGTAGATTCCGTACTCCAGAGCCCTGGATTCCAGATTGCACAAGCGAAAACTTCCCGATTCCAGATTTCAGAAGCAAAACTTAACCGGACTACGGTACCCAGATCACTTTACATGGGGAGAGTTTTAAAGGGAGGCGTTTTTTTTTTTTTTTTTTTTGTCGGGGAAAGGGGGGAAAAACGCCTGATACGTTAACCTTGCGAGTCGCCAGCCGCCTCCTAATTAACGCATCTGTCAACATTTGCGTTATCGTGTCAGAATTTACCTGAAATTCAAGCGACTGCAACGAAGGCGGCTATTTTAGAAATGTGGTTATACACTTTTCAGGCAAGGGGTTAATGCTATGTTGATACAGTAGTCGCTGGCGAAAACATCACAGATTTTAAAGACCAATTTAGTACTGCTGTTATTGCGAATCTTACCTTCTCGTTGCCGTTTGGTTCCTATTCAAACCGTCTAGCAAATTAATAATTCATTTAAAAAAATAGTGCAACAATAGAATTCTGTATTTTACTGGAAGTGGTCTGCCGCAACAAATCTTTCATGTTCTTTCATTCATCAGTTTGGAAAAGTGTGGGTGAACAGTAATTATTGTTGTAAATAAATTCCTCGATCATTTCGTGGTTTCTGTCATGAAGAGATCCGAAGGTGACAAAAACTATTTGATTGCTCTGGAAGTCAGAAATGTTGCTTCTAACCAATCAGTGCAGGGCTCCGAAGGATCTTTTTTTTTTCGATCAATCAGACAAAAGTCCAGATTCTTGACTACAGGCAGACGACGAGAAAAGTAAATGGATTAGGCGTCCTTTTCCCCTCGTCTTCCAAACAAAGGGGAAGATTAGGACCGTCTCAGATCGCGGGTTGGAGAGGAACAGTCAGTGGTCAGTCATTAACAAAATAAGCCATCGATCTTAGCTTACATCAGTATTTATATGGTTGTCTTGATAGTAGTTTAAACATAAATTTATTCTTAATTTGACGTTTGAGTATAGAAAATACTTACACATCGCTCTGTGAGGTGAATGTCTGATCAAAAATGGCTTCAATAGACATCCATTTCAAGGGAAGTTTCCTGCTTCTTGTAGCATGATAAACTTTCTCTTCATACACGTGTCGAGTCAAACCAAAATCTGCTACTTTTGCAACTTTATTTTCTCCAACGAGAACATTGCGGGCTGCTAAGTCGCGATGTACAAAGCCTTTTCTCGCCAAATATTCCTGTTGAAATTTGTTACATTATGTTTCATCCCATAATGCTTTTCACTTTAAACTTACCAAGAATTGCCGGGATTATATCTCTATTTTGAATCCTACTTATGTTTGAGACCCCTATTTTTTTACTTGAGGTTACTCGCATCCATGTGATTTCTTTTTCTCTAAATTGCCCAACATGTTGACGCCATCTTAGAACGACGAAAACTACGTATGCCACCACCGTTCCATTCGACTGGGAGACAGATTTTAAAACGAGTGGTCGATCTTCGTTTACATGACACTTGCGAGAGATATGGTACCGGGATGAACTTTTCGTCGCCAAGACAGAGCAAGGCAGGATGAATTCGTCCGTTGTGACCCGTTTCCCTATGATATTTTCTTGCTGTATCATGTAATCGAATACAATTGACTCCCAATAACTCGAACCCTCACTAACTCGGACCTCACGCTAACTCGAACCAAAGTCGATTTCCCCTAGATTTCCTTCTCACATAACTGTAATTTTACCCTCCGTAACTCGACCCCTCGTTAACTCGAACCTCCTGCTAACTCGAAGTAACTTTTGTTTCCCTTCAGATCATTTCTATACAATTCTACTCTCGATAACCCGAACCACGTTATAAGCGCGTGACAAGCCGAGAAAAAAACCGTGTACTGGGGTCCAAGACACTGAATTTATTTCAAAGCAACCATGTCAATTCTTTGCTTTGACTTTTTGCCACTCCAGTTCAAATTCAGTGTCCATCCCTGTACAAGGCTTTATTGCTTAATTGCATTCCCTCCCCATCTATTTGCTTATTTCCTTACTGCCGGTTATTTGCCTCAAACTCCCGATAACTCGAACTCCCGATAATTCGAACTTTTTTCGATTTCCCTTGAAGGTTCGAGTTATCGGGAGTCGCCTGTACTTACTCCATATATATATGTTTTCTCTAACAGAATTAAGCAACTTCCGCACCAATTTTTGTCAGAATCAAAACAAACTCAACCGAGAAGGCTAAAAAAGTTTAAATTTTGCCTTATATATGTGTTCACATCCAATCATGTAGTATGCTTACCATTCCTTCGCTTATTTGCCAGGCAAATGCCAGTAAATCTCCTGGTGTCAGACCATCTTCTTCTTTGTCGTCTTCGTCGGAGTGAACTTCATCTTTCGCCATCCCTTTGTTTTCAGTTCCGAATTCCTCTCCCGCTTTTGAAGACTGAGAAAATGAAAGAATCTGCACGTTTCCGCCGTCACTCTTTGGAGCTTCGGGGGTATTAACGTAAGTACGATCGCTCCTAGTTGCCTAAAAATTAAATAGAAAAAAATTACCTATAACCCACAATAAATTCTTAAATTGTAAAATTGTGAATATGTCATTATTCACTCCCCTCAAAACTTTTCAGGTATAATTTACAACTTTGGTTGGAGAAAGGCTGCTTATGGTACAGTTCATAAGTTTTGAAGTAGTCACGAGTTTTCAGGAATGCCCGCCACTAATTTGAGTGTGAATTTGAGATGGATTTCCGTACTGTGTCGTGCCCCCTATAGCTAGTTTTAAGAACAGCGCATGGATTCTTTAAAGTCCTAAAGAAAGTATTACATGTGCAAGTGTTGTGCGTCTTATCGTCCTTGTCCAAGAAGTACTAGAGAGTCTAACCATTTGAAGTTGTCATTACAAAGGCAGCACTTTCTTTGTTAATTATTTTAAGACCCCAAATGTTGCAGGCCCTCCGAGGCTTGGGCAAGTGGCAGACCGGCGCTTTATCCTGGCAACCGAACTAACCTAGATGGTGGTTAACCGCTTAAACTGAAACACTGAAAGGAAGAGAAAGCCAACCGGAGAACAAACATATATAACGTCTAGCATAAAATATTCTATTTCAGTTAACCAGGAAAAAAAATGACCGCACTAGTGGTGCGCTTCGAAATTATTTTTAATTACTCACTCATGAAACAAATAGTTCGTACAACTATGTACCTGCATTGATATTCCTTCCCGCTTTGCATCAAGTACATATGTCTCACAATATGTTGAGCGGTATGGACCTCTTGACTCGTCTCCGAGGTACTCTTTTACCTGAAAAAGAAGCAAAAAGTTCATCCCAGTTCTCATGTAAAGGGGAAGATACAATTATATTTTGTTGGTATTCATTTAGCGATACATACAGAATAACTAATCCAATTGACCAGTTTCTTTGTAAAAAATCTAGTAACTATATAGTTTTTGAATGTATCTGTAATATGGTTTTAAATTAATATTAAGGGGATGAAATGGTTGACATGTGAAGGAGTGACAAGCGGGTAAAGCACACAAGAAACTCTGTTTTAAGGTGTTCGACCAAACGAGTTATCAAGAAGGGAGAGGCCTCTAAATTCCCCTATGCTGATTGTAGCAAATACTACGGTCAAAGAAGAACCTGATTAAGGAATCTAACGACAGTCGGAGTCTGTGGTAAATATTAATGTCTTTGGCAAGACAATAAAGATAAACCTTTTAAAAAAGTGCAGGCAGTTCTTTTAAAGGTTCATAATAAACAGTTTGGCGTTGATTATTCATTCCCAAAGGAAGTTGCTTTGACAAGATTCGTTTATTGTGTGTACCTTTCCTCGACGCTTTCTGAGGTAATGTAGTAGATCACCATAAGGGACATATTCAACTAACAAGAACATGGGTTCCTCCACAGTGCAACAACCGACCATATTAACAATATTCTTGTGCGAACCCACGGCTTTCATCAATTGAATTTCTTCCAGAAACTCTCTTCTTTGATCACTATCTGCCATACCTGTCGATAACAACAATCGGAAACAGTTACAAAAATTCTCTTCTAACCTATCTCAAAGTACAATCTCCAAAATAATTGTACCCTGAGTCGAATCTTAAATCTGTTCGCAGCCTGCAATAGCCACATAAAAATATAGGGGTTGGTTTCAATGAAAACTGTGGTACTCAAATATTAACGTTAACGCATCGATGTCAAAACGAAAAATTAAAAACTAGAGATTACAGGAGAAGATTAGCCTGCGCCGCAGACGTAATTTAACCTCGGTTAGGAACGTCTGCAAGGGAACGCCGAGATCCTTGTTCTGTGCCCCCAACAGACTCAAATCCTGGAACACAGGTGAGGGCCCAGATCAAAGATTTTGGCCTTGTTTCGCAGCCGGACTTACCCATAGTTTAGTTTCGTCTGAGGTGCAGGCTGTAGAAAAAATACGGAATGATGACCCAAAATTTACCGTGAAGCATTTTCACTGCCACAGTAAATGGCACAGCTTGCTTGGTTGCAGATTTCCAAAGAGGGCTCACTGGAGGCATCACTGAAAGCCTACGTGAAACTGTAGTTACTTGCTTTATGGTTCCTTTATACACCTTACCAAAAGCACCCTTTCCGAGCTCCTCCTCAAGAGACACCAGGTCACCATCCACTTCCCAATGATCAATTATTAACGCATTTTTTCTGGCACAATAAAGAATAATTAGATTACTAACTTGATTTCACATGTAATGCTATAGGTATTTGACTTTTATTTTCCTACTGACGCTGGTGTGACAGTGAAAGTCAACGATTTTCCGTGTAACGCTCAGACACCAGGAATGTAGTACGTCAATGCAATGTTTTAACATTACCATAAAAAGCTGCAATAGGATTTTCTTGGACTGTAAAACCTTAGGGTGACTGGAGCTTGCTGGAGTGGCTTATTAGTTAAACTGTCTTCCATTTAGCTGATTTATCCCATGTTTTAATGCCAATTCCTTTTTAGTGCATTTTCGTTCTCTAATGCAGATTGGTGTAGAATGTCGGAGACAAGGCCAGCCATCCGGCCTTAACTTCGCCGCCTAATAACGCGACCAAGCAGGCTCCATTTTTATCTTAACTTTCAGGAGGTCGTACGACAGAAGTTATATTCATGGAATCGCTAAAAAGATAGCTGGCGCAATCTTCTATTTTATTCATACTATTTGTTATTTTATTTATCATTACAACTACTTATCCTGGTTGTATGGTGGTCATGAAGTTGTATTCATTTTCAATCATAAGTGTAATCAAAGTATTATTGATATTTCTTTAGCGGACATCTCGGTGCAAGGCATCAAAATCTTGCTATAAACATTTCTTTGTGTTTATTTGTGAGATTCCTTACCCTGATACAAGACCCTTCTTTTCCATTCGTATCCTTATTTGCCTGTTACACCAAATCACCAAGCTTACAGCAATCAGGGCACCAAGTATAGCGCCTGTGACAAGCCCGCCCACCTGAGCTGGAGTAAACTGGAAAGAACCTTTATTTGAAAAAGAACATTGTCAGTCATTATAAACGACATAAACTAAAATCAAGGGATTACGTAACAAGCGTGGAGAATATTGTCTCCCCCCCCCCCCCCCCCCCCCCCCCCCCCCCCCCCTCCCCCCCCCCCCCCCCCTCTCTATTTTTATCCAACAACTCTAACACCCAACAACCAATTTTTTTTGTGTTGCTGTTTCGTGCAAGCGTAGGGGGGGATTGTGAGCGCGAGGAAACATACCGTTTATGATGTCATGATTTTTTTTATAGGGCCTGTGACAAACCCCCCCCCCTGGGCGTGAGTAAAATGGAAAAAACCTTTTTTTGAAAAAAAAAATTTTCAACCATTTTTAAACACATAAACTAAAAAAAAGGGCTTACCTAACAAGCGGGGAAAAAATTTTCCCCCCCCCCCCCCCCTCCCCCTCTTCCACTTCTCCGCGGCCCTGTCCATCCTCTTTATAATATAAACTTCAAAACGTTAACCGAGGAAACGAATTTTTCTGTCGATGCTGATTGCAGCGAAGGTTAGGTAGCTATTGGACTGACAAGTAATATACCGTTTTGGACATCAGGATCTTTCCATGAAATGTCAATCTGGTCATTTATACCACTGACCACTGGAACCTGGAAGACAGGCGTAACCTAAAAGAATATTGAGAGAAATTATCCAATGAGAACACTTTGTCCAAAACTGCAAGATGAAATAGCATATACATGTGAACCATCAGTATATTGCTGGCACAAGTATTCTAGTCAGTGTATGTTTTGGTAAGGCGAGAGGGTCTTTCCAGCTTTGACATCGGCAGGTTTTCTTCGGTGAAAGACAGTTACGCTCTTGGCTTTATCTGTGCAACAACCCCAAATTTTCTTTATTGGACGACAAACACTTATGATCTGGTTCTGACCAAAATATTTACCTGAACCTCCACAGAAATATCCCGGTTGATCCCACTGATTGTAGCATTTGTATCAGACTATAAAAACATTAAAAAACAAAAAACAAAAAACAGAGAGACGCTGAAATGGATAGGACGAGCGGCGGTGACAATGCATAATATTTCAACACGTGACACCCAGACAAATTCATTACGAATAACTATAAAACAAGGTAAGCTTGAGGCAAATGCGAGCACTGATGAAGAGAACCACACGGACCAGAGCTTAGCTATGTTTCTGTAGCATGAAACAGCTAGGAATGCTGCTACTTGGCCTTGTGAAACTCCATTCCGGACATTCTTATCAACTTACAGTTTGAAAACCAGCATTGTTGTCTCTGTTTCGCCTTGCTTGGTCGGATAGAGGCAAAACCTTGTATACGTAGTGCTTCACTCCACTGTGTTTGAATAATGGCTTCTCCCACCGAACTGTTGTGCTAAACGTATTGTTAGGACCAGCAATCTGGACACCATGCTTCAATCCAATCACTTTTACAAGCTCCTCATTGGGTTCTAGTGAAAAAGGGTATAAGAAAGGAAACTAAGAATTTACTCTCTTCATGAAAGGGTGACGCAACAATTAATGTAAATCAAACAATGAACTGCTAAAGGCTCATGACTTATAGATGTTGCGATAGTAGACAACCCTTCATCAAATAAAGACCAGTAAACGAAGTAATCTGCATTCACTACAAAGAAATTGGAATCAACAAAGTATGGAATTACGAATCACCTCAGGAGAATATTGAAAATATCTGCAAGTATTTTCAGTCGCACATAAATATTTTTTCATTGAAACGTCCCTAGATAGATAATAAAGGGAAAATCTTTTTTTGTTGTTCAGATATGCCCAAACTGTGAGAACACACATAAATTGGAAGTGTAATGCTAAAAACACTAATTCATAATTTGTAATCCTGATTGTGAGGCGTTAGAGGTACCTTGCAGGGAAGCCATAAACAGATGAAAAAATGTAATGATGACAGGTGCGGATCCACCCTGGTTTCCACCGTTTTACGGAAATCGGTCAGATTTTTCATAATAAATATATTTTTAATAAAAAAAAACTTTCCAAGCTGAAATATAAAAAATTGAATGGACAAATGCTTCATCCGAGAGGAATGTAACTGGCCAATATCCTGTCTGAATGACTCAGAATCCAAAGAAAAGGGACTTGAGAGAGTTAAAATCCAAAAAATTTACCGGGGGAGCATGCCCCCGGACCGCCCTAGAAGCTTCGGCGCTGGTTAATAGGAAGTCGGTCAGTATTTATCCTAGATCTGCGCCTGAATGAAATTGCAAAGCCAGCATGTCAAAAGGTTAACACTTAGCATGTACCTGGAGCAGTTTCTCTGATTTCTTTTTCTTGTCCTATGATATAATCGTTGTTGAAGAGAGGTTTAACCTGTTGGGGTTTAAGTAAATTAATGATTAGGACATGCTACTTGGAAATAACAAATTTCACTATTAAATCAGAAAGTTCTCCGGGTAGTAACTTCAGCTAGTGATGGTATGTTTTGACAGATGTAATATTTCCCTTAAATACCAACAGCTATATTTCAGTGATTATATACTACTACATGAGAAATTTCTGCAATTTGATTGGCTTAGGGAAGTGTTATTTCAGCTTACTTTGAAATACCTACATGCTAAAATTACAAAACCTTTTCGGTTAGTAGTATAAACAATTAATGTCATGATTTGTACATGATATTTGGCATAAATACCACTCGTGATATTTCAAAATTGTCTCAAATTTCACTTGCCTAACGGCTCGTGAAATTACGTATAACAATTTCTAAATACCACTCTTGGTATTTATGCCAAATATCACTACAAATCATGCTAATTTACCTATACTAATAACTAAAAAAACCTATATTTCACTCGTAAACAATACTTGTAAAACGAGTCTAAAGTAAGCGTTTCTTAAATCGGTATCCAATATTCAAAATTCAAAATCCTGTAATATTCAGAATTTCTCTTGCCTTTAAGCTGATTTCTTCTCCAGGAAATACGCCTGTTATCTTAAATGTCGTCCTGTTCTGTAAAGATGGTAAAACGTGTTAACTTTAATTTTATTAGAAACTGAAATCAATTAATTAATGTGCAATCAATTAGTACATTGGAACATCTGTTGTTTAATTTAATTGTTTGCGCCACCCTGACTAGCTCCAACAACACCACCTTACGAGCCTTCGTAAGCACACTCGTCCCCTTTTCTCACTGTTTTGTTACTGATTGCACTCCTGACATAGTCAAAATGGCACTGCTTTAAAGGCGATAAATTATCTCGGTTGTAAGACAATTTTTTGGGGGGAGGGAAATTGTCATCTACAGACTTGAGTTTCGTTCAATCTTAACATTCAAACAAATTTCCAACTCCAATTGAATTTTCACTGGACGAAAAAATGGATTTGCACAAATTTGCTCTCGGCTAACATGTAGCAAAATTGTAACAACTGAGGGATAAATCTGGGGAAAAGACGGTATTGGCCACACTTGCATACCAAAAATCACAGGTGCGTTGTAAATATGACGGCAAATGTGACCATTACCGTGTTTACCCCAGATTTACTCCTCAGTTTCTATATTTTTGCGTCTAATATTTGCCGAGAGAAGAATTGTGCAAATCCATTTCTTCGTCCAGCTTTTAAGCTGATGTTAAACCGTTTGTCCACGATTTAGTTACTTAACGCACCATTCTATTGTTTGAGCATCCTAATGCAGTTCTCACCAAAGGTGAACAATTCAGCTGCTCCCGTACGTAGCTACCTTGGAATTCGTAAGAAACATCATAGGAGTGAACGTTACTGCGGTCGAAGGACGGTTTTTCCCAGGTGAATGTGACGCTGAATGTGTTTGTGCCTATATTTTCCACAAACGGCCCACAACGAAGCTTTTGTACCTTTAACTTCTCTATGCTCGGTTCTGGAAAGAATAGTTAAAGAGAGGACATTTTTTTTCGTCGCGAAAGATGGTGTTACAATCGGCGTTACAAACTTCATAATGATAATAATAATAATAATAATAATAATAATAATAAAAATGATAATAGAAATAATAATAATAATAATAGAAATAACAATAATAATAATGGTGTTGGTGAGGTCCTGAGGCGAAAAGTTGGAAAAGGTATTGCTGGATTTTTGAAGGAGGAGATCATAGAGTCAGCGGCCCCCTTCAGGTTTGCGCAGGCCGTAGCGCAGGCTCAGAGGCCGCGATACATGCTATGAGTCAAGTTTTTGTAGAGGAAGGAACAGATAGTATTTTACTGATAGATGCAGGCAACGCCTTTAACCAAATGAACAGATCCGTCGCCCCACGAAAAATCCAGATAACCTGCAGGGAAATGTCACTTTACATAAATAACAAATTCAGAAGCCCGTTGAGGCTCTTTATTTGCGGCAGAGGTGAGATATTATCACAGGAGGGTACGACGCAAGTGATCCCTTGGCCATGCCCTGGTACTCGGTCAATACATCTATCATGATCCAGAGCTTAAGGGAAAGTGCGGAAGGTGGACAATTGGTACCGTTGTATAACTGGTACAATCACCTGAATCAGGAAGGACAGAAGTATGGTCATCTAGTAAATGGATACAAGAGCTGACTGATTGTCAAGTCGGACATACTTGCAGATGAGGCAAAGAGGGTGTTGGAGATGAGGTCAATCTTACAACTGAAGGTCAGCGCCACTTAGGGGACGTCATCGAATCTCAAGAGTTCAGAGATCAATATTGTCGGGAAAAGGTACTCGGATGGAAAAGAAAACTCGAAGCACTATCTGAGATAGCAAAGGAGCCAGCCTCATGCAGCCTACACTGTTTTCACGAAGAAGAAGGATAAATAGAAAAAAGCAAAATAAGCTGCGGAATACTCACTTGGGGGCTCGATGAATATTTTTTCGGACTTTCCTGTTAAAACGCTAGCGATAAAGTCAGCGATTACCTTTGGACAAATAAACAAAGTTTTATTATTTTTCATTTCTTTGTATGGATTAAAATATAATGTCATTCATAACTCTCTCCTATCACCAGTTCACAAATAACAAGTGAAGACGTACAGCGACATGTTTATCATCATCATCATCATCATCATCATCATCATCATCATCATCGTCATCATCATCATCATCGTTATCATCATCATTATCATTAATACTATCACCATCGATCACGATCATTATTAATATGTAATAGAGAGCTTAAGCAGAATATATGTGAAAGATGAACTGTTAATTCATATGAGAATGGGGTAAAAAAAATGTACGAGTCCCCTTCAGCGACAAAGATCTTTCTGAATCTGAAATGTACGATTGCAGATATTTCAAATAACAGAAGTAAACACAAACAAAACGTCCTTGACTCGCGTTACACCAAAAACCTTTCATTGCTTAATCTTCGCTTTTCGCGCCACAAACGCTGTACTCGACCCAGACCGGGTGCAACCTTACTGACGTCGGTGACCTCAAGAACGTCCGCAGCTTAAGCTCTCTAATTATGAGAAAACCTATTCTAATATAATGCAACTGAAATAAGAGAGACGTACACCTTTAATTTAATTATTATTCATTCAAAAGTTTTCGACTTTCCTGAGTGGCTCCAATCCCCCGGCTAATTTTTCACAAGCAACCGGCGCTGCCCAAATTTGGAAATGGAGAGCAATTTGCCATCGATTCGATTAGCGTTTAATCGGAATCAGAGTTAAACAATGGTATATTTGATTGGAAACGAGGCTGCATTAGCTGTTGACCATCGATCAACCTCGTTTCCAGGCGCGGCGGCCAATAGTGGGGTAGGCACCGATTAATCCCCTTTTTTGCGTTGGAATCTCATTTATTTGCGGTGGATTACATTAACGCCGATAACGTCATAGCCTTTTGCCTTTATCTCATGAATAAAATGCGCAGTAATCTCATAAAGATAAGTCATATGCTATTTTTAGTTGGTTTAACCGGTTGGATAGGTTTAGAGTTATTTTTGAACAGATGGTGTCTTAGTTCATTTTTACTACGTGTGTCATATTGCGGAATTGCAAGCATTTTAGGCATCCTACTAATGAACAGTTGGGACACGTAGATATATTTTTTAGCAACTACTATAATTTGCAGTCTGTCTACTTTGAATATCCTTATGTGGGTATGATGTCATTGTCTATTTTTAATTGTGTGTGTCAATATCCTTATTTGGGTATGATAATGTACAAGTTTTGTTTTGATTAGTGGACTCCTTTGAAGAAGTAATTCGGTCACGGATAGCCAAAAACCCAAGGAATAAAATGCCCGCTGGATATTAACTACTTTTTGCGGAATTTTATGCAAGAAAAAAAAAAACGTTTGGCCTGGCCTGCTTCGACTAGCCTTGCTAATTGCAAAACAGTCCTAAAGGTCTTTTTTTAATTTATTTATAATTTCAAATAATAAAGTTGGAAGTCGCAAACTGAAACTGCGCCAAGAAACAGGCCATTGTTTTGAAAAAAGTGTACGAGGTGATAAGGATGTTAAGAATTAGAAATATTTCCGTATGATGTGAAGAATCTCTTATGGCGTCTGTGGATAATTTTTATTTTAATAATTTTTTGATGTGTTAAAAAAACAATTTGGCTAATGATTCCTTGTGATTTCGCCTATCCTATAATTAAGTAAGGACTCTCGAAAACAAAAAAAGGCACAGTGAGAACACTTTTATTTACGTAGTTTAAGCCCGTATGGACCAGTGGCTGTATAAATTACCTCAACTTCCACTCTGTCTCCAGGTATTAAGTCAGAAACTGTGATATTATTACCCTCCTGGTGAAATAAACATTGCGACATGGTAAGAGTTTTACATTGGAGGTTTTCACCGTAAGGGAAAAGTATTACGAATGAAAATTACCAAATCATTGTGGGTTTTTATTCGATGCGAGTTAAAAAAATGGATCGAACGGCAACGTATTGGCTTGGTAAGGAGATGACTCAAGAATGAACATAAAAAAAAAACATTGCTAGAAGAAAAACACAATTACGCAACGTTTTTAAAAAACTTTATCGGAAAAAATGACAAAAAGAATTTTAAAATGACAAATTCTATATGGACTACCGTTATTGTCTGCCATCTTTTTGCCCTGTCTGGGTTACCGGAGAGACTACAGGTTATAACGTATTCGTTCACTTTGCTTTCGTTGAAGAGGGGCATCTCCCATGAGACTAAATAGATGTACTGGTCTGGTTTGCTCGTGATGAGAATTGCTTCGGACAGGTTTCGAACTTTTAAAGTAGTTGGATCAGGCTCTGAAACAAAAAAGAGAAAATGAGATATATGAAAAATCCTTATAAAAATATCCATTCGGTGTTATTTCAATAATTGATACTTTATATAATAGTGAAACCTCTATTAAGTGGACCCCAGACAATCTCTATTAAGCGGACACAAAAGCTGGGTCCCGAAATTAACGTCTTTTATTTCCCTAGTAACGAATCCCTATTCAGCAGGCACCTCTATTAATTCCGGATGCGGACACTAAAATGAATTTTTGGCTAATTTGGCTAGTTTGGCTAATTTCTATAGTTAAAAACCTCTATTAAGCAGACACCGGACTGAATTGACAATAGCAGTACTGGATTACGTCCTTAAAATACGTACTGTAGTCGATTAATAAAGATAAATTAATACATGTAGCTGTCAATAAACTGAAGACTAGACCGATATCCGACCTTATGATCAAAGTTCACCTAAAACGTTTGCACAAAGTACATCACAAATATTCACAATCAAATCTTTCTTTGACTAAATTTTAACGACATGTAACTTTATCACAGTACAGAGTAACCGTTGAATGTTAATTGTTAACAAACATTACGCAATTTTTACAAACCTCTATTGAGAGGGCACCCTCTATTAAGCGGACACTTGGGAAGGTTCCGAGGGTGTCCGCTTAACAGAGGTTTCTGTGTATTTTGTAGTCCCAGAATCCAAGGTAAAACACAGTGTTAGCAAAACACATTTTAATCATCATTACAGGTTACACAATCTTGACAACTTCGGCCTCGCGTGGTTATTGCACAATACGTCACGTGACTAACAATAGTTACTTAAAGGGACCTGCGGGCAGTCGCCTAACGCTACACTGCTCCCCCTTATTTGGGTACTGTGCCAGTGCTGGCCCTCCTTGCAGATCACTTCCGACTAATCTGAAAGCAACAGTGTAACTCAACAGACTAAGATTTTCTAACGACTGTTCATTAGTATGCCGAATGTCCACAGGTCTTAGGAAATCAATGGTATTAACTGGTACTTATATCTAGTTGTCTAGGCTGTCCTATAACGCGTATCAGGCCTTGAAGATTTCAGGTTAGTCAGTCACCCAAGTTCCGTAAAGACTTGGTGGCCCTTGCTGCTTTGGAGATCTCCTAAGAACGCTGGAATCCTTCCAAGGCACAGGAAGGTAAGACTTTTGCAGTCGACTCAACTGTTTGACGGCCGACATCCTCCTGGTTATGGCCATCCGCAACAGAAGTTGACATTTCCATATGAATTTCGGATTCTCTCACATCGTTGGGCTTGTTACTGTTATAATCCCCAATGCAATCAGCATTCTGAGGTCTCGGGGAAACACTGATCATCCTTAATTGTCTCCTTCCGTAGATTCTGTTCCGTGAAGCTCAACTCCCTCTCTCTCGTTAACCAGCACTGACTGTTCACCTTGACAAAAACTGAAGAGTCTTCATCTGATGTCCCTCTCCCCTCTTCTCTCGGGCTCGTTAACTGCGTCCGCCTCTTTGTATTCCATCTCTCCAGTGGGGGTTTTTGTTAAGGCTTTAATCTGTTTGAAAAAACAACCTTGGGCTTGGTCTTTCGGTTCTTCTGGATAAGAGGCACCTACCACATCCGACAGCAATGATGTTTCCAGACAGGGTCCTTCCCAAGGATAGTCAAGCTTGGTGTTTCTCCCCTTCTTCCTCCGAACGTTATGTAGCCAAACAGAATCACCAACAATGACGGTCTATCAGTAAGCTGCTTATCGTTGTTCCGCTTCTGTCGTACAGCAACCTTGTTCAAATGACGTCTGGCCAAATCATATGCACTAGCCATTCTTTCTTGAACAGCAATAGCATAGTCCGCCTTGAGTGGTAACGCATCAGGAGATCTCTCAGTTACGACATCCAGGGGAACTTCTAATTTTCTACCCAGTATAAGAGGTTAGGAGAAACCACTGCTGGCTCATGAACACCACCTCGATAGGCCATCATGCAAGCTGGAAGCTGTAGATCCAAATCTGTTAGGTCCTTCTGGATCTTCCGACGTAACATTTCACTGAGGGTCCTCTTGAAACTCTCAACCCGTTCGTTATTAGATTGGAAATGGTCTCACATGGTTATTGCAACATACGTCACGTGCCTTATAATAATTATTCAGAGGGTATCCTCGGGCAATCGACTAACGCTCTAATATTCTTGCTTCACAATCAGTTCAAATCATAAAATAGCCTTAAAAAATAAATATCACGGTATCTTAATCCATTTTCTTTTCCTACTACCGATATCTGGGACGAGCATTCAGCTATTTCTAGGTTTTATATTAATTTATCATTTATGGCTCTTTGGTCTCAAAAAGCTCGAAAATATATTTGCGTTTGTTATTTGCCCGTTAAAGTTCTTTTTATCATGAGCCATTTTATGTTATTTTAAGCTGTTTGTATTGCTATACCTTGCGATGCTGAATAATTATTTGTTGATAATTAAGTAATCTAGGAGGTAATAATCTAACCTGGTGCCGTTTTCGTAACTTGGCTTTCAATCTTCTGAATTTTTACGTTATCAAACAAGGGCGTCACCTACAACATAACACGAAGTTATTCTTATTTTGTTTTGAGATGTTACATAATATATAGTAATCGTTATCATCAACAATTAAACATTTAATAAGTACTTACTTTTAGCGTAACAAATTCCCTTGGCCTCACTCCGAACATTTGGAATGTTGGTTGCGTCTGTAAAAGACGGAGAGAATCAGATTTGATATGAGAAAAGCAGCTGGCTTCAAGGATTCCTGACGTTTTCTTTAGGAAATGAATTCTTAAACTTATCTAGTTCTGTTTCGCAAATGTTAATTCTCGCACATTCTTTTACATGTCATGTTTCTAACAGCCGGCTAATTTATCTTTGTAATAACGGGGACGACGGGGCCGGGGGGGCTGGGGGAAGCTTTAGCGCCCCCCCCCCCCCCCCCCACTTTTCTAGAGGAGTTTTTTTAATTTAAGTATGAGGAACGTATAACGGGTAAAGAAGAAGAAAAGACAAGGATAAAAGAAGAAAAAGATTTGCTTTAAATTTGAATCATCACATATGACGCTTCTATCCATCCTTTTTGCTGAGGTGCATTCGGACTGAACAAAGTCTTTTTTTTATAATCATTTCAAATACTTGACTATTACAGAAAAATATGCTAAATTTTCTATTACATACCACCTCTCCGTGAAATATGGTCTCGGCGCTGTAGCCCGTCAACTCGTACGTAAATTCATAGGCACGAAGCGTGAAGTTGAATAATGGTCCTGTCCACGTGAAGTTGACTGTGAACGTGTTCTTCCCTTCCTCACGTAAAAACGTCCCTACAAGGATATGCCTAACTTTGACTTCTTCATCAGGTGGAACTAAAAGTACAAACATATATATTTACCTTTTTTAGTTATAATATGTACGAGCCCTTCTATTCCACTGCTTCACCTGTTCAAGGTAATCAAATCGTGTAATCATTCTCAACTTGTTAACACTGAAATGAGTCCACTCGATTTCAATTATTATCCAAAATAAATGCTGGAAGTGTGTCTGCACAGAACCTGACGAACCTCAGGTAAGAGGCCAGAGATCTCAAAACCCTGATCGTGCACCTCCGAGGTATATTTTTACACTTAACTGCGCGACATAAGCAGATGTATTCGTTTGGTTTTGAAAGCATTTTTTCTGTGGAAATTCTGCTGGGAAAGACGGTCTAAAGCTGGTCCCGCTGGCCATATTTGAGGGTCTCAATGGGGTGGTAGCTTTGACAGTTGATTGAAAATGTTTGCCAGTTTTGACGATTGACGGTTAAAGTTTAGAGCTTTTGACCGTTGAGTGGACATTTAGTCCAATGGTTAAGGCAAATATTAATTTCTGTAGAAAAATTGATGTTAGCTGTTGAGTTTTGGAGGTCTTCTTAGTCTTTCACTTGAAACGTTTTTAGATATAAGCAAGTTGTGAGGTCTTGTAATGTCTAGAAAGAGTATTTTTTTTCCACTTTAGAGATTCTTCAGGAGCCAGAATCCCTTGAGGATCAGCTGAGATATCGATGAAATGGTGAGATTTCAAATACCTTGAAACTTAATTTTTGATGGTTAATATTCATCTGTATTTTTGACTGTTGACGGTATAACCCTCTTGACAGTTAAATTTTAGGCTGTTTGACGGCTAACAGCTAACCCCAATAAGATCCTCTCTAACCGGAGCTAGTTTCTCGAAAGACGACTAGGATTAATTAATAGTTATAAAATTACCTGCGAATGTCCTCTCTTCTAGACTGTCATTTTGGGTCTCTTAGTAAAAGTTCACTAATAATATTTTACGATTCTAGGAGAGTAAGGTTGTTCAAAGTTTCGCCTAAAACTAAGCTTAAAAGTTAACCACCATTCGAGAAAATCCGGGCTAGATAGAAGACTGATTGGATGATCCAAAGGGATGTGACAAAAAAAAAACACAGTCTCATGTTTCCGAAGGAAAAAGGAAGAGTGAATCAAACCAAAATCAAAGGACCTATAGATGAAAGTTATAAAAGTTGGACTAACGGTGACAGAAATACCCACTCCCCCCCCCCCCCCCCCGCGGGGGGGCCAAAAACATTTAAACGGGGGCGCCCCCCCCCCCCGGCCCCCCCCCCCCACCTTTTTTTCCACCCTTTGTACCAAAAAAAACCCCTCCTTCACTTTTCTCCATCACTCAAACTACCTCCCCTCTTCCTTTTCCGTCTTTCAAATTTAACCCCCCCCCCTTTTATCCCCCCCCAGCCCTAAAAAAGGTCCCCTTTTGGGGGGGGGTCCCCCTTTGCGGCCCTTTAGAGGGACCCCCCCCCCCCCTTCCCCAGGCAGCAATACTTCATACCAGGTGCTTTTAATTTTCCAAGTAGTTCTGTTCCTGTAATCCACTCATGATGTTTGTATTTCGGAGTGATCTGAAAAGAGAGCGTTTTTCTTGAGTACGAGACATTTATGGCAAATCATACGCTGGCCATTTAGAGGCTATTGATAGCTGCCTGCTTTTGCAAATTTTTTCATCTTTGTGTGCTATAAATAAAGATAGAAAATCCGTTCAGTTACTGGCAGCTTTTTCTCATATTATGTTTACAATTGGTTTCCTTTTCTTAAATTCATAGAAATGAATTTCATAATGATTATCGTCATGATACATGGCTAATTTCACCGGTACATAAGGAGCTTACCCAATACGAAACTTGCTCGCCGTGCATCACCCCAGTGATTAAGAAGTGAGTTTGACTCTGCGAAAAAGTGAAAAAAATAACATTCGATAGAAGTTTGACATCAGAACTCAAAATTTGCACTTCATACCCCCTATACGGCCTCTTGTGGAGCTTGTGCCTAGATAATGAATTTGTCGTAGAACGTGACGTTACGACCAAGCACTACTAGAATACTTACGGTTATGTTCCCTAATCGTGTTTGTTTTCCAACTTTGTAGTATAACTGGTAGGCAGCGAGGGAACTATAATTAAACGTTGGTTTATCCCAGGAGATGTTTGCAACAAAGCTTCCCGGTAATGGCGAAGGGTAGAATTGATAACCTTTTAAATGGACCGTCACTTCGTCTTGAGGTACAGCTGTGTGGAGGGAAAAAAATGGAAAAAATAGTATCTTAGCGAGAACTTTTGTGTTAATAAAGAAGTGCACAATCAAGTTTGACTGCCTAGTTTATGAAATGCTTTTTTGTTAATGAGCTGAGACCAAGTCTCAGTGTACAGTCTGACTCAACTTGTGCAAAAGTAGTTTCTGCGTGTTATTATTGTTTTAATGTCCCGTTTTTAACGACTCTTAGTTCTTACATTTTTTATTGTTTTTAACACCCCATTTTAAAAATTTTTTACATACTTTTTCCATATTTTTTATTCCATTGTTTCTTTCTTTTTAAATATTTATTTTTATTTATTTTTTATATTCTCATACTTGAACTTGATAATGACCGAAGCACGGTTAAAACATCGTTCTGGATTTTTACCGTTTATTTTTTACTCTAAAAAGAGTTAATTGGCCCGGGGGTACTTGAACAGATTCAAATAACCCTATATCTAAATTTTGTTACTAAGAATATGAATTGATAATGTGACAATGATAATGATCAAGGTGATGGTGGTGATGATGATGATGACGATATACTTAAGAGGTATTGAGTCTTAAAAGGGAGTTTAGCTATATATATTTGATGAATGGCTCGTGGGATAAATGGTTCGATTTAAAGAATTTTTTGCATGTTTGTTCATTTATTATTCTTGTACTGACTATTCATTTTATAGTTTCCTAATGCTTGAATTAAAATTAGCTCACCAGGGGTAGTAAAATTGATAGATCTCCTTTCCGAAGATGGAAGACTGTCAGTAAAACTTGGTCTGACCTGTTATAAGATTTTTAAAATTGTGTTAAAGAACATTAATAAAAATCCTAAGCTTAATCCCTTCTTGATAGTTACAATTACACTGCATGTATAAGGTTAATCTCTTACGTCGATTTTGTAAGCTGTTCCAGGTAGTAGATTCGTTAATAACAAGCTTGTAGGCACCTGCAATAATTATCAACAATTATTGGATGAGGCTGAGTATGATCAGAAATACAAACAGGAATTATGGAGATCTAGGAGGGTGTTATACGCCGAGGGTGGTTAGGCCGAGACGGATAACACCCCCCGAGATTTCCATAATTCTTCAGATCATACGAAAGCCGAATTCACATTTAATAATTATTTATTCATTATTCAAAATAATTCCTAGTATAAAAACAATATAAAACGTGCTTACCTCCGTACATGTCTCCATCGATGTTAAGTTCTCGTCTTCAACTGCTCGTTTCTCGGCAAGTTCAGGAGATAAAGGGATGTTCAGCTCTGCAAATATTCTCCAAATAGCAGGATGTAGTCTGTCGAGTTCACATATTTCTTCTTCGCAAAACAACTCAACCTCGTCTCCAGGGCTTCCCGGTTAGCTGTCCAATTTTCTGGCATTTATGCTGTTCTATTAGCCTTACGATTTTCCACATGTCGAAAACTTCTTCCTTATTTGGTCAACTAGCTGGTTATTTAACAATTATTCCCCCAGCCCGAATGGGCTCTGAGTCAATAGCCCATGAGAAACGTAGAAATATTTTGAATGAACACTCCCGGGTCAGCTGTCAGCAAAAAGAGATCTCTTTCAGACTAGTATTTCAATTTTTATCCGTTTGGGCTGAGACTTTGCACGATAATAGAACCTCATATTTCCAATATGAAGTCATTTTCGCCAAAAACCGTTAATTTCAAAAATCCAAAAACGTACGATTGTTGGGAATACAAAGTCCTATTATCGTGCAAAGTATCAGCTCAAACGGTTAAAAATTGAAAAATTAGTTTGAAAGAGATTTCTTTTCGATGACAGCTGAACAGCCTTAGAATAATGATTCAGCTATCAGTATAATTGCAAACAGTAAAAGACAATCAATCAAATATAATTTTAAACTCTATGACACAAATAATGACCAGAGAACCTGTGAATTACAACCATAATGTTTTTTCGTTTGTGAATCCGGCTAACCATTTTGTACTTCTGCAGCCGTATATATACAGGTCTTTTTCAGGATAATCTCTAAATTCTTGATAATTAAAGTGACTTCAGTGAAATTGGAAGATGAACATCGTTATTATAAACGCAACAGTTACTAAATTACATGTATGGTTGCAAATGAGGGGAGTTCTCTAACTCTATGAATCGCTGCTCAAAATCAGGTAGAAACTATTACCAAAGGACCCACAAACACGTCCTTTTCGAACTTATCTTTGCGGAGTTTAGGTCATGCGAAGAGTGTGTTTGGTGTTTCTGGGTAGACAAAATTAAATCAGCAACGTTTGCTGTGATAAATTTGTCAACGCTTACCGTGTTGTGGAAGCTTATAAATTTGTTGTCTCCTTTCCAATTCCAAACAGAGTAAAGAGTCACGTTCTTGTAAGGGTATACCGGTGGATCCCAGGCGATATTCACTTGGAATCTATAATCGTCTTGGGCTGTAAAAGAGAGTCTGATATTGTGTACTACCCTGTCTTCCATTGGCGCCTCTGGTGGATCAACTAAACATATCGCATAATGATCAGAAAAAAAGGTTTCGCTTTCATAGCAAACATTTGATAATGATGATTAAATAGTAAAACATTAATCTTGTCATGTTACTGTTATGTTGATAATCTTGTAGTATCAGGCTGATCAGGCCTTGTCCAAAAATGCGTTTTTTTTTACAAAATCGAAAGAAGCTCGGGGTCTACAAAAGCGTACTCTGGTCTGATTGGTCTGATTGCTATAATACCATCAACTGACGTGGTACAACTCACTTTGACTCTGAAGATGACTACCGCACAGGTTGTCGAAACGTCAGTCACTGTCAACAACAACAGTCCTATTCATGAGGACTACGTTCACCCGGACGATCAAACTCAACCTACTTTTGAAATGACTCTTGGGTTCAAACCTTTCACATTGTGATCCGTCAGAAACAGAACTTTCTCAGTGCAAATTAAATTGCTCCCGCTGGTAGCATCCGAAACGTTCTTCGACTCATCAGTAGTTCCTTTGTTTCTGGTTAGGAAAGCTTGGTGAACGAACCAGGCAACTTTGGCGATATAATAGCCGTCGTGTACGAACTCACGAAAAGAACTCCGGAGAAACTGTTCGCCGATTGGGCACAATAATACAAAGCATTTTTTGTGCCCACTCAGGAGCCAGCATTCGCTTGACCTTTTGGAAATGGTCTGGAGAGAGTCGGTACCCAGGGGCTCTTCCACCCATGCTTGAAAACTTTCGTCGCAACTTTTCTCCCGGCCCGACTGACTGCCCCTGGGTCTCCGAGGATGTGCTGAATGAAGTGGTTAGTTTCTAAAGAAACGCGGTGTCAGTCGTCAGTTCAGGGGAGTGAAGTACAAAGATTTAGTCATAAAAGCTGAACACCTTGGGGATTATATACTGGAAGCTGACTTTTCGAGAGCAAAGACTTTGTCAGAGTATGACGTAAGGGTAACGCTCAAAACTTCGGCTCCCCTATATTTTCCTACGTTGGACAATCTAACTTGACAACCAGTTTTGGACTTAATAACGGTTTAACGACCCTTCAGAAAGAATATCCTTACTGCTTAAACGGGAGTCATTAGTTTTCTTGACGCCACAAACAAGCTTTTAACAAATCATGTCATTTCAGTTAGGTCAACTATAAATATCGTAATCCACGACATCCATGGCAAAACTGAATTCCTACGAGCGATTACTAGATAAAAGAAAAGGTAAACTATTTTAAAACTTACATTTGTAGCATTCACTTTTAGGAAAATTTGTTATATTTTGACAACCTAAAAAAAAGAACAATAAATAAAACTTTAGTCTACGAAGATTTATACCCACCCTCCTACGATTTTATCAGCTACAGGTTCATCGCTGGGTAGGAATGGGAGTATACTTTGATCAATAAAGCATTTAATGACATTGGTATTGAGTTTATATAAAGTCACACGATTCCAATTTTAGTTTTGTAAACGGTAGTTATTCAGTTAGGGTTTTCCAAATATTAGCGTTACCCTTACTTAAAAGCACGTATAAATGCTTAAGAATTGTATGCCGCAATTGTATTTGCTTTTTGTGAAAATGAACATCACCAACGCCCTAACAATTTACCTGGATAGGTGTATATTAAAGTTGCCTCATCACTCGCACTACAGCCAATCATGGCACGAACCTGGAAAGCAAATGTAGATTACATTTATGATGTGAGTATGATTTTTTCACGTCACGCCTTTAATACATTAACTACTGTTTCAAATCAGGCGCCCTTGAAAGGGAAAACTGGTACCTGTACCTTTTACAAAAAAAATAGACCTAAAAAAGTATAGTCTTTGAAGAATCTCTCCAATGTTATCACTTAGATGGCTCCCATGAGTAACGATATCTAAAGAAACGATATTCTCACATGGACACCAAGATGGTAAGGCGAAAATGTCTCCGTTATTTTTTATGGCTAGGAGTATGCAGAGTTCAGCGGTAAGTAATATAAAATGAACATTACAAAATTTGTAATAGCGGAGCTCCATGCGCGGCGCGAAGCGCCGCGCGTGGGAGGAGCCCCATAGCTAAGGAAATGTGGTAATCTACTCATCCGAGAAAATTTGGTAATCACGTGACCGTACACCGACCGACCGCCCCACCGTCCGTCCGCATCACAGGTATACCAATGTAAAATAACTCAATCAACAGGTATGGCAACCCAAATGCAACTCAAGGTTTTATTTGGAAGGAAATCACATGGCCGCCCGGACTTCTAGAAAGAAAAAACAACAACAAAGTCGTGTCTTTTTCGGCGTTATCTTTTTATGTTTACACTAACGTGGATAACAGAAGAAGAGCTAGAGCGAGTTATTGAAAATAAAGGAGACGAATTTCGTAGAAAGAAAAACATGGAAATTCAAAACGGCAGTGAGAAAATGAGAAATGCTAGCGGCCAGCAAGGTGAAAATGAGAGGCAGTGAAAAATAAGAGCGAACATGAACACAGGATACAAAATATTGGGTAAGCACATACGACAATTCCTCCATAAAAATAATGTGTAACTAGGAAGTTTGACGTTTTAGTCATACAAATCAGCGTTGTAGTCGTGCAAAACAACGGCAAGGGGGAAAGACAAAAAAGCGTGCTGCACGTGCAATTTTCTTTTGCTAATTATATCTATTAGTCTTGAAGACATTTTCATTGCCGTCCCCGTTTAGCATTACACGATTAAATTTTTTTTGTTTACACGTATTACTAACCAGAGCTTCGCTTTTAGCCCTGGCTAAATCTATATATTATACATACTAGGATATGCTCACTGTACAGCTATGTTGTAACTTTTTTTCGCAAATGAGTTCTGGCCAATCAGAGGGGCGAACGATGTTTTGTCACGTGTGACAAAAATGATACACCCAATCAAAAGCCACAGAGGTGTGTGTGTTTCGAGCCAAAATTTACGTCTTTTATAGGCGCTTGTAGCTTGAAGGGTCCTCGCTTGCAGACATTCAAAGAGAAAACACTATAGTGTTAATCGTAGAAGAAAGTATAATTCCAAACTGTGCAGAGCAATAATGTTTAAAAGAAAAAAACACACACTATATCTGAAAACAACATAAAATCAATAAATTTGCGAATTACCAATATAAAATAGCGAGAAACAGTCCCGCCTTCGACTGCCATGATTTTGTTCCTTCTCAAAACCGTTAATTCTTGTTTTTTTTTTTGTGCGTAAGCGCATGATCAGTACACAAATCCGCTGTCAAGACCTTTGACGATCGCTTTGCAAGTTGTGAGACCATCGTCTGGATTTCATTTGAAAGAATGCATGGGAAGGAGCTGTTACTGTTCACTGTTACACCCTTTTTTCCTGAAGACACTCTACAGACTTACCCTTCTGATAACACCTGAGATGTGTAAAATAAACAACTAACTATTGCATTTTCCTTCGTATTTATGCACTCAAAATGTACTGCGAAAAACGAAGGAAATGGCATTTCCTAAATTTCAAAAATAGTCCAAGTGTTAAATAGTTTAGAGTTCTTTCAGTGGTCTACCTTTTTTTCCCGTGCGTTTAACACCTTCAAAATGTCACGCTACGCCCGTGTAACTGTGGTGTTTCATTATTTCTACTTATAATTGTATTTCAATCTTTTCTGTTTGTTTGAAGTGTTTAATATCGCCTTATCTTGTCCCGCCTCAGGATTAGCTGAACAGCTATTTGCGGGGCATCCTATATTGTAAAACTTTATCTTTTTGTTAATATAAAGGTTGTTGTTGTTGTTGTTGTTGTTGTTGTTGTTGTGCAGTGACTGTGCAGCATTCTTCCGCGCTGATAGCCGGTGAATAGTTAGCGGACAATCCAGTGCCTCAAAGCATCATCCTAACTGAGACGTCCAGTGTTGAACGCGTATGTAAGTGTATTATTTACTCTATTATTACATTGCATAAGTTACAACAGGCTGAAACTCGGTATCAAGAAATTTTAAGCCTCACTGGTACAAAATTATACCAAAGGCTACGGGAAATAAAGTATTTTCCGCTGCTAGATAAACTAGATAACCTGACATAGAATTTTGTTCTTTTTAAGTCAAGAAAAACTAGCCTGTTGATATACATTCAGATTTGATATTAAAGTGTACGAGCATGGAATGAGGTGTACAAGACAATGAGTAAATAAATGTACACAACTAGACATATATTCCCCCTGCACGTGTATAAATAATTATCGTCTAATTAATACTCACCTCAAGAAGATGGTGATTACATCTTTTCGCTTTCGAGTACACATGTTCTGAAAATTTGTTCTCGGGCTGCAATCAAAGTGAAATGAAATATTTTTCTTAGATTTTTAGGGTAAATATGCCACTCCTCTGAGCATATCTCATTACTGTACTGCACTACGTTTGACTCTGTGGTAACAGTGTGGATCTTAGGGCAGTTAACTTTCAATATTCAATATTTCATTTTTCTTTCTGACTTGAATCGAAGTCATTTTAGGAGGTAAAGGAGGCACTGTGGGAAGAAATACAGTCAAGTGCGGGGGAAGGACTTTTTACAGTCAATTTATTTCATTTTTGGAAATGTAGAAACGTCAACGTTTTGTATGATCCTTCAATCTTCACATTTTTCAACACCCTTGTCAAATACAAAAAATTAGAAAGAGAGAAGTTTAAGAATCAAATTGTTTTAACTTAAAATTAGTAAGGTCATGGTAATTACTTACCCCAGAAGTTTCCCAATTTTCTCTTATGAAGGGTTCGCTGTTACATTTGCGAGGATCCAGTTCCCACATCACGGCATATTTTGTAATGAGATGCTTATAATCTGTAAAACATTATTTTTAAGAAATGATTTTATTATTGGATATAATGTTTCGTACTATATAGTCATAAGACTAATTGTGTGGCAGGAACGCTTAACGAACCCCTAAGAACGCCTGCGTGGGAGGCTATATACGGGGAGGCTCCGATATATATAATGTTTGACAGAAAGGGTACGCCTTTTTAACACTTTCTATTGAAAAATGTTTCCTTTTTGCCATTCCTACTTAATAAGAATAAAAACCCTACAACGGGAAGTCTTCTCATTTTCGTGTACCGTTTAATGGACCAAAAGCCCATGGTGGGCTTCTAGGCGCGTCTTTTCGGATTTTCCTTTCTTTTTGATATACTTCAGCTAGTTAATTCGCTGTCCACTACCTGAAAGCTGAAAACGGTATGTCACCTTTCGGGCAGTTATCTCCCCGTATAAGCTATTGTAGGAAGTTCCCCCGATTTTCTAACAGCACACAATCATGTGATTTTTTTATCACCCACCGCTTGGGGGAATCCAGGATACAGTCAACTTAATTTCATCAAGAGGGGAATTGTCAGCGACAGGATCATACACTAGACTGTTTAAAGTCACGTTTGTGACAGGCGCCGGCTTGATAAGACCTGTAATACAACAGAAAATATGAAAAATCTGAGTTTGCACCAGTGTAGTCCAGCAGTCGCTCATCCATTGTGTGAGTAAGTCACCTAACAGGATACAGCCTGTGTATTGAACCACTAAAAACACCTAACCCTTGCCGCTACTGAAATTTACAACAGTACCACCATACGGATGGCAAAACGTTATTTTTGGGATCTGACAAGCCTGACATGCAAAACTACAAAGGAAAGGAAATAGATCTAGAAAGAGCGACGGTCGACTAAGAGATAGTTGCCGTACGCGCCTAGTTTTTATATAGCTGCTTTAGAATCTTATTTTTTTAAATGTTAAATGATTATTCTCCAATATGCTAGAAGATTCACAACAACGTCACTGTGGCACAAATGGCACTCTTCAAACCATTGGCAGTTATTCTTTAGAAACATCGCACACTCGGTTTTTATATTGGCTATCGTTTTTGAACGACCAAAAAGGAGGAAGAGGGCTATGCATTAAATAAATAACTTTTCCATTCTGATTTTTTTATGGGCGGGGGGAGGGGGGCACTCGCGAAGGAGCTCGTCAAGCAAAATGGTTCATTGAGACTGAGACCAGTAAGGGGACAAGCCCATGTAAAAAAAAAGACAAGCAACGAGGATGCTAACCAAAAGACAGATCATCATCATCGCCATATCCTTTAATTTAAAAAGATAAAACTTAAAGTACAATGCTTATGGAGTCGTGTAAGAAAAGATGAAAGGCTAAACAGTTCACGAAGAAAGGTTCACATTCCCTAGATTTAGTGAAATAACAATATCCCAAGAAGAAGAACTGAGAGCTAATAAAGTTTTAAATTCCCTTTTTTTCAGCATTGCATCTTCTTTTCTCTTTTTAAGATCCCGAAAATTTAGATCCTCAAAATCCTCCTCACTCTCAATTCTTGTGTGGTGTATTTCAATAAAAGAAGCCTTAAAGATTAGAGCCGTAACTGTCCAAATGTTTATTTGTGATTCGATGAATAGGTCAACAAGCCTGGCTTTCAATGGCAAATGCACCATGCAGATGAATCAAGATACATTTGAGTAATGCGATAAGATACTTATCAGTTTTCAATGTTACTTACTCGTTTGCACCGTTTGTTGCCCAACGCTTAAAGATGAGTTCTCGGTAAGGACAGCCACTCTAAACTTGTATAATATTGCTCTGTAGTCTGAACGAAATGGGGCCGTGTCGATGTAAGCGCAAAGACTCGGGAGTGATATTGTTGCCTCTGGTATAACAAACACCTAGGAAACGCCATAAATATAAGCAAGACTTCTAACAAAGAATTAAAAGAATAAATTAAACTAGGAAACATCTATGAATAAAAGTAAACGCTCCAAAAATGATAGATTTTATTCAAACTACCTCTGACAAGTAGGCTGGAACAAATGCTTGTCCGCCCTCAGAAAACGCCATCTCAATCATGTACACTGGGCTACCAGTCGTGTTTTCCACAGCCTCCCACTTTAAGCTGATGGAGGTCAAACTCCTGTTTGTTACTAAAGGTATTCCTGGGGCTGGTGTCGAGGAACCATCTCCATTTATTATTGAAGAAAAGTTTTTAACCTTAGTCAAAAACTCACAACTCTCAAGACAGCTGCTTGAAGCTCTCTGAAATATAAAACAAATACAATTGGAAAACGGCCAACTTAAATTTCTGCAAAATGACCAATTCCGAACATTTACAGTAGATTAACGTAGCAAAGCAAGCCGGGTCAGTTGTCGCTACTTTTGGGTGACTTAATTGAAGCCAAGGAACTACTTTTAGAGTTTTTATCCCTTTGTGCCCAAAATTTTTTTGGATGGTAGAACTTTCTATTCAAAACAATCGCATGTTTTTTTGTTTTTCGATTGTAACGGGTTTTGGCGGGAAAGACGTCACATGATTGACAGCAAAACTGAAACTTCAACTAAGGATGTAACGAAATTGATTAAGCAGTTATAAAAGTTTTGATTTTTGAATTTCCCGTTATTTTGTTACTATTTTTAGAAACCCAAGCACATTTCAAAATGTTACTATCAGTAAGATGATCTCCTAAAGCAATTATGCTTTTATTTCTATCCCGTCGTGCTCTTTAAAAATTATCTATCTGTTACGTCACTAGTTGAAGTTTAAATTGTGCTGTCAATAATGTGACGTAATTTTGCCGCCAAAAAACGTTCAAATCGAGAAACAAAAAAACATACGATTGTTTATAATACGAAGTTCTACCACCCTGAAAACTTTAGGCTCAACAGATAAAAACTGTAAAAGTAGTAAATTGGCTTCAATTAAGCTGATTAAGTGACCCGAAAGCCGCGACATGCAGCTGACCCGGCGTGAAGGTGCACACGAACGCCCGGAATTTCAAAAGGTGATACTTACGCATGTTTGTTTACACGCTGCCTCATCCAAATCAGACGATCCACATGGACCTAAGCACTAAAAGAGTTCAAATATCAAGGATAGAAATCAAAGTGGATATTGACAAATAGATGGCTTTTCATTTACGAAGCACTCTTTATGGATTCCCCTTTTATAGGTATTTTGCTCTGAGTTGTCAGTGTTACTATTCTAAACTTTACTGATTGAAAATAATGGTACTTACTTCTTTACAGTCAGATGTTTGACAGGGAATTCCAGTTTCATTGCTAGCTGGATTCTAAAACAAATTTTGAAAGTAGGAATGCGTTATAACGGTATGCTTATCAAACTTACTTATAAAGTCTTGCAGGTCTAGATCGCGCAAAATTAGGCTTTAATCGATTTTAAAGTTTTTTTTGTTTATTGTTGTCATAGTGATATCGATTTTACTTAAAAATGCATTTTGATAAACTTCAATTCATAATCAATCAATGGTGAAAATTTCATAGCCATCGGACAAGGATTAAATCACTTTTAAGGGGATTGAAAAATATCGGTATGGCCTCCGAGAAACTGTATCGAAACACCTTTTAAATCTACTCCGCTCGTTGGGGTTCCAACATAGTAACTAGCCGTTAACCAGTGCCAGAGCTCTCGATCAACATTTATAATTAAATTGTAACTAATTATTTTATCATGTCGACCAAAGGCAGTTGTAATAAAACGATCATTTCTTTAGGTTCTGCCGGTTCCACCGTCTGCAGTCGCGCAGATTAGTCTTACCCCGTTAAATGAGAGTTTTCTTTGTTCCGGGAAGATGTAATTTAGTATTCTGCATTGTCTTCGTGCATGTTTCTTCAAATAAGACCCGTCATTAACATCAGCGTGATTTGCTATATTCCATTAACTGTTCTATTCAACCATGCAATAAATCAACCATATTCTCATTTACATCAAACTTTTCGTTACACGGAGGTCGCTAAAGAAAGGGACAAGACTGTTTTGTACTGATAGGCAGTAATATTAAGTTGGAATATACTGTTCATGTCCAAATCGAAATCGGCTGAAATTGTTTGATATTGCGCGGTCAATCAGATAATTTGTTCATCTTATTAAAGTGATGGTGATTATTTCTTTCAAAATCAACCATTGAAGTAAAAATGATAATCATGAGATCATCTTAAACGCGGTAGACTTGTTTAAACCTACAAGAAACTGACCATAGGGACACTATTACTTCAACGATAACATATGGCTGAGATCGTCTTAAAACGACTGCTTGCCGAGAACGTATATATTAAGCTTCACGTCTACGGCAAACAGCAAGTCGCAGATTCAAGTTGAGAACCAGCTGTCAAAATAGAAAAAGAGCACATAAAAACAGCTCAAAAACTTATGGATAAAAAAATTGTGTGAAACTACTAATTTATGTGTAGAAATAATGAACAGTAAACGACAAGTTAAGGGGTAACTTGGCCAAGTGCACGTACAAATTCGCGTTTCCCGTTTGACGTAAACGTGGTGCTTAACCTCTCTATTGAAAGATGGCTCACCTTCGTCAAGCAGTTTGCATAGCATCTGGCTCTGGTGACAGTCGCTTTGTTTGACTTTCCACTGACGGAGTTAAAAATCCAGAGAAAGAACAAAAACTTGAAGGAATATCGAAGGTGGAGCAAGCGAGCCTGCGTTGCAAGCCACATACTAAAACAATTTACACAGTCCAAATGCAGGTGAGTTGTTGATATCCTGCTCAAAACGAAAGACATGAATATTAGCACAAATGTGCTGACAAATTGACGTTTCTAGTTTTGGGTTGAATTTTTAGTAAATATACTACAGTAGTAGATTCTAGGGCATTAAAAATTGTTTGTCTATTATCATTATTTTTCCACCTAAAGACATGCATGGTATCAGTGCTCAGGGAAACAAGATTAACATTTCATCACTAAACCACCTCTTTATGCTAGTGAAGTACTACAGCTGGCGTTTGAATCTGGAGTCACGTAATGGCACCATCATTTGCCAATAAAGTGATAAGCAATTAGAAACTATAACTGACATTCAGCGTGTGAGCGATTCAGAAACACTGCGATATATTTTTCTAAAGTAACTTATCTCGAAGATAAAAGATCAATTTTGTGATTCTGTCAGTCAAATTGAACGTTTCAGTCAAGTCAAGCACTAACGGTGAAAAATACTATAACGAGAAGCATACTTTGCAGTAGAATAGTTTTTTGGATGTGGTCGGTGGCTATACTCGATTTCATTAACCGAGAGGGTGCATTTAAGTTTGGTACATTTGTTCCCCGACAACGTTGAATAGTCAGCAAGGTTTGGGGGGCTTTTTGGATAATTTTTCTCTCTGGCTGTTTAAATTTCTTTTTTTGTTCCTGGCGCTGCCGCAATGAAACTTAAAAAAGCAATTTAGTTTAGCTAATTAGGTACAAGTTGACAAAACAGAACAATTTTGAAGTAATTTGTTTGACATCTAAAATAACTTGGCCTTTTAACCTGAAGACACTATTTACTGGGAATCAGCTTCTATTTTGCTAATGAAAACCGCCATTATGCAGATATCAGTCTTTGGGGACTAACAGTTAACATTAATTTCCTCACAAAAGTCTGATTTTGTTACATAAGTCTAAAAACGATTTAACCTTTAAAATTTCTTTTGCAGTTGTTATCTTTTAAAAATATAAAGAAAATAAATTACTTAAGGCGATAGAGTTTTAATAATGCTTTTCATGGCATGCTTGGTGAAACCTCTCTTTGGTACTATTTACAAATTAAAACCTGGTTATCCTTTAAAGTGTGTTAAGACGGAATCCATCAGGAAATTGAGTAATTTTAATTTTCAGTGGACAAAAACCTTGTACCAGAATAATTTAAAGCATATTGCATTCTTTTTGACATGTTCGAGAGCTAAAGATGAAATTAGCCATATGTAATAACACCAAAGAAAATCTCCTATAGAAGCCCGAGAAAATGAATTCGAATGTCAAATTTCACAAAATTACATCTTACATATTAAATTTCCCGAATTTTAGCTGTGTTTTCACAATTCTTGTGAAATTTGACATTCATTTTTCCGGGCTCCCATGATAAATAAGTACCTCTTAAGGCCTTGAAAAATGTAAAGGAGAGGGCAATATTCTTTAAATTATTTTGGTACATGGTTTTTGTCCTCTGAGAATTAAAATCACTCAGTTTCCTTGGTGGACTCCGTCTAAATTAATATACGCTCTGATGTCAGATAATGCAACTGGATGCTTTTCAGTAATGGTAGCCTGAGTCCGTTTTCCGGATGTTCAAGAGATCGCTCACATAATGAAGCGATCAAGTAGTCTTAAGTTCGCCGTGCATGCCTTTTGCTGACTTTTTTGATGCTTTTTATTTTAGCCTGACAACTTTCGCTCTTTCGAACTCCTGTTTTATGGTTAAAATCGAGATTTCAGATCGTAGATTTTTACTATTCAATTTGTGGGTGCTCGTAAGGTTGTTTAACAAGTTAACATTAAAAGTTATTAAAAATTTTATTTTAAAGGAACAACTAAAATTTAGCAAATGATTTTGCTTCTGCGTTCATAACATACAATTCATTCAGATTCTAATCAATCACTGAATTCATGGCCTTTCCTGTCGTACCATCCTGACCGTACCTAAATATATTGAATGTCTGGAAATAATCTTCCCAACTTTTTTAATTATTAAGGGTTATAAAAGGAACAGAAAGTGCTGATAAGTTGCTTAAAAAGCTTAATCTTTACCCACCAGAAAATCCATGTTGAAGAAGAACAGATTGCGCGATTTCGTGTGGTTATGATAAGCGCACGCTGAGAGTTCCACTTTAAAAAATGTAGCGTTTTAAATAATTATATTTATGCATTTTCAAGGGCAAATGGCCAAAGCAAAGCTTTAATGTAAGCGAAATGATTTAATATTTATAAATTTCTGTTTTGTTGGCAGGTTGACAATATCACCCGTGGGGGCAGTTGTCATTAATAATAAGTGGCTATTTTACCTCCATTTTGCGTTACTGTAATGTCGCTGTTTTGTCAGGCCACTCTAATCGCATCTTTCTAGATCCATATTTTCGCAATAATCAGCTTGCGTTTTATTTCATTAAATTTATATTTTAACCAAAAAAGTTTCATGGCACATCTAGAAATCCACTCTAAGCGACGCGATCGAAGTTGTTTCTAATTGGTCATCACAGGCCAAACTCACGTTGAGCCTTAGTCGAATATACAAGGCTTCACAATTATTTACCGGAAAATTTTATACTGTTACAATTTTAATTTTAACCAAGGTCAGAATTTTTCAGATCCCTCTCTCCATCACATTTTTGAATGAAAAAATTTTGATTTACCTTTTTCGCTGAATTATAGCTAAAAATGGGGTAAGAAAATCAGCTTCAGAAAATCGTAAGAACTTTATTATGTAAGCTTAAAAAATCATACACGAGTAGAACGGTCATCTAGAAAGTTTTAGCCTTGCCCAAGCTATAGAAAATTCTAAGCAATATTTTCTCCTTCGAACCGACGTCTCACACAAAACCGTCCTTGGTTCCGTCGACAAAAGTTCACCGATACTATAACTAACATCTTAACATCGTTCCACGTTATTTGATCTTAATGGAGTAAGAAAATGCAAATAAGTCTCGCTTAACCACTTCCCTGTTTGTTTCTTTTCCGTTCGCGAAAATTAAGGAAGTTGCTCTTGTCTTTTGAGAAACAGCGACATCTCTTCTTTGATAGCACAGCTGTATTAAAAAGATAACCGCTTCCAAAGTTGCCTCTATAATGCAAAATTATTTTATTAGGAAAAAAAAAGAAACTTTCAACGTATACAACTGGTGATAAAATGAGTGCCACTTACCACTCTAATCCATTTCTTTACGATTTCTAGTCCTGGGCCCTTTATGCTGTATTACGTCATTGCGCGGTCTCCTTAACAAAGGAGTGATTGAAGATCAATAGAGTCAAACGTGTCAGAAATTGAAAGCATAACTTGACAGCATCTAATTATATTGATTTCAATTATGGTGTGGGTCTTATGCTTCATTTCCCTCTGAACATATTTACTTAATAGGCGAATAAGCTTTCTTTTCACTTTTCTGAGTTATTGTGACACTACAGTGTCATTAAAGATCGAATTGACATTGTGTTTTTCGGTTTTTCGATAAAGGCCTATTTTTTTTCATTTAAGCGGCTTTACGGTTTGAGGTCTCCTGATGTTTAAGGGTCAGTTTCCTTTTGTGAATGTATATTTTTTATTAAATATAAAAGAACAATTTTTTTCAGTTTTCCGTTTACTGTGTTGGCGTCAAGATTTTTTGCAAAAGTTATAAATCATCAGTTATAAGAACATCTATAAGTTCTTTTGAAATACTAGTAAGAAAAGATTCATCGCAAGTTGACCTTTTATGACAGTTGGAGTAACTTATCAGTTTTACTGCTGTTTCGCAGTTTTCAGTAGAGCTAAAAGTGCCCCAGTGTCATGTAAAAGAAGACAATGGAACTCAGGCAATTAAAACAAAATTATATATTTGCATCATAAATTTACACCTTGTTTCAACTGGATTAGAGCTCGACTGAGATACGCTGTTTATTTTCGAATATAGCTAAGTCAAAAAGTGAGATGGTTATAATAACTTAAGTACAGGGAGTCCAAAGCAAATTTTGCCCGTAATTCATTTTCAGATTTACAAGATATATGGAACAAAACAACTTGGTGAGCAAAGTAGTTTGGCATGGCCTTTTTTTTAAAGACCCCCACCTGTTTTCCCCTAATTAAAAGTCGGGATCTCGTTCATAGTATCTACACAAATGCAACAGTAATAGCCATTAGTTTAAAATGACAATCTATATCGTGGTTTCCTTTGATTTTCCACTGATCATCGAGGTACCAGACGGTCAATTGTCGAGTTGGTGGATTTAATCTCAGAACATTAGCGTAACTGTTGTAGTGTTTCCGACCATGGTTGAGAATTCCAATTATAAGTGATCACCTGGTGAAACTACCCAAGGGTGAATCTGGTCATTGCACTTACTGACGAGACTGATTTACCAAGAATTTCGAAAATTCAGTTCTTTTAGCCTTTAATCGATGAACAATCTCAACACCTATTTAAAAAAAAGCATAACTTGAAATTTGCTATAAACGTTGGCCATGCGCACGATGTTGGTGACCACCTTTTTGTAATAAATGGTCTAACACGCTATTATGCGCACCATATAAGCACGTTGAAGGCGCCATTAAGAACGATAAGTTTCTTAAGCCGGATGAGAGAGGGACGATAACACCTTTAGAACAAAAAATACTCATATACTCAACTCCGTAGCTGAAAATGCTTCGTTGATACAAAATTCACTTTCTTAGAAGCTTAAATATCTCTGCCATTTTATTTTTATTCATTTTTTCTCTTTTCAACACCATAATTTTTTCTTCAGATGATATATCGACGATTGTTTGAAAAAGGCTCGATGAAAACACGGTTAAGGCTCGATATAGGCACTATGAAGGCACTATCTATGTACGATCAATGGAATTCAGGTTCTATGAACGTTTATCGGCTTCTTATTCTTATCGTGCAAGCACGATGCACTATGACAAAATTTGACCTGTTTTGTTACGGCTGTGATCACCAACACCGTGCACTTAGCCTAGTTTTATTCGTGATCAACTGTTCAAACCGCCAGAGCACTAACGAGAGTGAACGTCGAAATTAAAAGATGTTTTCTAAGATTTTTTCCCGCCAGAGCCGTCTGGAGCGAAGCGCCGGAAAACTTTATTATCAGAATAATTTTAACGAGGCTTATCAGACTCAAGATAGTCTTTTAATGTATGAAAGTGATGGCTTGAAAGTAAAAATTAAGAATATTTAGTGGCTGGAGAAAAACATATAAGGGAAAATTTCGCTAGAGTGTCGAAAAACTGACACATCAAATAAATTTAAAAGAGATTAACACTAAAGTTGGAAAATGAGACTATCCCTTTCAGCCGATTACGAAATACTTTACGGACAGGACTAGCATGTATAATTTTGAGGCCTCCACGGAAAACTTTATTATCAGAATAATTTTAACGAGGCTTATCAGACTCAAGATAGTCTTTTAATGTATGAAAGTGATGGCTTGAAAGTAAAAATTAAGAATATTTAGTGGCTGGAGGAAAACATATAAGGGAAAAATTCGCTAGAGTGTCGAAAAACTGACACATCAAACAAATTTAAAAGAGATTAACACTAAAGTTGGAAAATGAGACTATCCCTTTCAGCCGATTACGAAATACTTTACGGACAGGACTAGCATGTATAATTTTGAAGTGTTGAAATCACTCGGTCATTGTTGAGAGTGATAAAAATCACTCAGGCTGGAAGGGGTGATGTTATGTACGTTACTTGCAAATTACCGTAAAATTCCAAACATAAGCCCCGGGGCTTATATTTTTCAAAGGCCTTTTTTGAAGGCAGGTACAAAAGTCGGACCGGATCAACTCGAACCGCCAGTCCAGGTCGGATCAACTCGGATCGACTCGGACAAACTTGGATCAAATCGGACCAACTCGAATCGAATAAAAAAATAAAAATAAAATCGGACTCGGATCAACTCGGATCATAAAAAAAACAACTCGGATTATAAAAAGAAAAATAAAATCAGTCGGTAGCACTTAACTTTCACCCGCCATTTTGTTTTTTTCTCACGAACTCGTGGTTGCGTAAATTAATTTTATTTTTATTTTTATTAACTTTAATGATACACTAGTGAGCAGCACACATACACTTCCAGTGAACATTTTCAACTTGAAAGGACGAGAAATTATGCTCGCCAGGGACAACGAAAATTTTCGTACCCTAGGCGAGAATTGAACTCAAGACCCTCCGAATACTGCATGTTTATCGGACGTTCAAACCACTGAACCGGAGGGTCGCGAGTTCGATTCTTGCCCGGGGCATGGAAGTTTCCTTTTATTTTCTCCTCCTTCCAAGTTGAAAATGTTCACTGGAAATGTATGTGTGCTGCTCACTAGTGTATCATTAAAATTAAGTTTCACAAGTCCTGCAGAAAAAAAAACAAACAGGAACAAACAAATAAACACTCTTCGGTAACTATCAAAATGCGATCAACAGACCAGGCTTTTGATGCTTTTCTCATAAATAATTCAGTACACTTATTAATCAAAAATTATGCGCATAACTTATGATCACGCTTACCTCAACTTCTTTGCTTTGTGACAAAAAGCTGCAATAAAATAAAAAAATAAGCAAATATATATTCTAAGCGACTGAAACTATCATTTTCCTGGAATGAAGCAAATTCATTGAGAAAGATGGTCGAGATTTTACCTTCCTCGAGGTCATCCATATCTGTGAAGCAGAGCGCGTCGTGTAACGCAACCACAACCACGAGTTTATAACATATCCGAGAGGAACTGGCACAAGTAAAACAAAATGGCGCCTGAAAGCCACGGAGAAAAAAAGGATGATCTGGCCTTTTTTACCCTCCAAATGGATTAAACTTTCAGTTTTGCTGATTTAATTTAATTATTTTGATTGCTCCGAGTAGATCCGAGTCTTATTTTATTTTTTTTTTTAATTTTTTTATTCGATCCCAGTTGGTCCGAGTCGATCCGAGGTGATCCGACCCGGACTGGCGGTCCGAGTTGATCCGGTCCGACTTTTGTACCTGCCTCTTTTTTGAGGGGTTTATTTTTGGAGGGGCTTATCTATGGAGGGAAATTTGCGTTTCAAAATCGATTGGGCTGGTCTTATAGTTGGAAGTAAATTTACTGTTTTTGTCAAGGGATTTCAATGAAAGTTAAAGCTGAACACACAGGCTTTTACTGCAGAGTACAGGAAAAGTTTGTGACCTCACTTACTCGCCTCACTCGCCTTCAGGAGCTGCATCCAAGTGAGCCAGAGTAATTATTACTTATAGTTTTTGTCTCGTCTTAGTTTTTTTGTAGTCAGGCGTAATTATTTCATGTCATGACATGTATTAATTTAAGATTTGAGACAGAGAGACGGTGTCAATAGCGTCGCGTTTAATATCCACAAACTTAAATTAATTTTCTGATTGCAAATGGAAAGAGAAAGGTTTTAGAGAATTCCAAGTTCTTGTGAGTAAAAAGTAAGGATAATATACGAAAGTCTTGCTTCGAGGCTTGCTCATCTACTTTAAACGGCAGGCCGGCTAAAAAAACAAACAAACACAAAGAAATCAAGGTTTTCGGAAACTTTTAAGTCGTTCTACTTAGCTTGCTGTCTTGAACTAAACAGTGTTGTTGTTGCACATGTTTCATTAAAGTTTTATTCATGTTTTGAAATGAAATGTCTGAAAATGGTTTAATCATGGCGTGTTTACTCATTAACTCACATTGTTCATCCTCGCTGAAAAGAATTAGAACTTGAATCATGCCCAGTTAAGTATAAGTAGTAACTTAAAATCAGTTAAGTATGTTTTTTTTTTTGGAGTTTTAAGTAATTAAAAGTTGGCTAAATCTATTTAGTATACACTACCACTTCCACTTCGGTGAATAATTGTTATTTATTATTCATTCAAAATATTTCCCCAATTCTGACTGGCTAAAAGCACACTCATAATTCACCATAACCAGTTACTGAAGACCAAATTTAAAAGAATTTTGACTTTTGAATTTTGACCTTGGCTGACATTATTCCCGACCTGGCAAAAGAGCATGCGCCTTACTACTTAACGGGGCTCCTTAACTTCCTCTCCCTGCTATCAATCCGTGCAATGGACAGATTGTTATGAAGAACCAGATAATGTTTACTAAAAATCAGGTATTTTTGTTTAGCTCGTTAGCACTCCTTTTTCCACATAACAAATTTAAAAACAATTTCTAACATTTGCTAATTATCAAATATGTTTAATATATAGGCTACATACACAGGTGCACACTTATTTCACTTTTAAATTTCTCTTTTTCTCTATCTTTCTCTTTGTCTATATTCCAAATTCGTGGACATGTAATTAAATCTAAACTTAATACGTTAGACAACACTGCGATATAGAAACAATTTTCGCTTTCCGTTTTCGTCTTTATTGACTCTTTAGTTGTCTCTGCTTCATAAGACGCGAGTGGCTATTTGGGTTGCCATTGAGTTATTTTACATCGGTATACCTGTGGTGCGGACGGACCAGTGGACATACGGTCCGCGTAATTACCAAAAATTATCCGATGAGTAGATAAGCACATTTTCTTAGGTGTGGGCTAAGCTCGCGGGCGTGGAGCTCCGCTATGATTAGCACAACTTCTAGAAGAAAAGGTTATAAACTAAAGAGCAGAGAACTAAGCGCAAAACAAAAATAATTTAACTTTCAGGGACAATAGGATATATTTTCGGAGATTTGGAAATTTTCTCGTGACATTTTGACATTTTGATCAACCGTTCGATTTTCGCAAATGACAGATTCGTCCAGAAATTACTCAAAAGTTCTCCGAACCCAGAACCAGTAAGAAGGTTTAAAAGCAATTGTTATTTCTATACAACTTTATTCATTCATTATAGAAGAAGAAGAAAAAAAAAGATAAAATGTAATTACGCTTACAAGACTTAAAACGTCATATAAGTAAACGTTTCTTCTTAAACTACAAATATCTAATTTAGATATTATTAAATTATTTTTACAACAAAACTTAGAGTCCTTTGTTTCAGTTCGTAATTAAAAGTTACAGGGCAAAATATAGCAAGTTCAAATCGATACTTGTCGTCCAGAAAAATTTATCCGCCATCGTATAGTGTGACAATTACTCAATAGTACACCCACATGGCAAAACGGAGTGAAACCAGTGCACCTTCAATTTTAAGCTAGATCTCGACAATGAGAACAGACTAACTTAAGATCGTCACTATATGTGCTAAATACAAACACCTTATTTTAATATGACAGCTGGAAAAGTTAGCTTTCTAGCGGACAGAGGGCAGCCCTTGACGATTGGTTAATTATTAGATTGCTAGAGGGCAATTTCCTTATTACCAGCTCGATATATTGACATTTCGATGGCGTCGAAATCAACTTTAATATCCTTCAGTTCACTGAATCCCTTCCCTGCCAACTTATTGTTGTTATTAAGTCCAAAACCAGGATCAAAATTATCACCCCTTTTGTCAAGGTTCTTGAATGCCTTGGCCATGGTGGCAAGTTCCTTCCTTTTAACAGGGTCGCCTGCGTCAATGTTGTCCCCTTCATTGCAGTCATCGCTCGTTTCTCTTAAGAGTTCGTCGTCTTCTTTGTCAAGAAACTCGTCGTCTGTGGTTTCATCAACGAGACTGTTAAATGATGGTACATTATAATATTCCCTACTTTCATCCAATGCACTGAAATCCAGGTAAGGGTTATCCTTCTGCATCATCACCTCCAGTCTCTCTCTTATCTGCGTAAAGTTTGGTCTGTCGTCGGGTGATTCCATCCAACAATGCGTCATTATCTCGTAGCTAAAACGAAATCACAGAATGTAATTAACTGAGCGTCCAGTCCAGCCTTGAAATCCATTCAAACGGAATGATCCACATTGTTGAACGCAACATGTTAGATCCGTTTGAACATCTTTATCTTCAGTGGGCGGGTTCAGATGCTGGTGAATGGTGAAAGGTAGCGTTTGAATTGCATGCAGTTAAAACTATTGGGTCTGTTTATTTTTTTTATTTTACTTTATTTTATTTTGCTTTGCTTTAAAATTTTTTAAGAAAACGCCATGTTTATCCTGTCCGTCAATAATAATTACCACGAAATGAAACAGACAAAATTAATCGAAATCTTCAATCTATAACCTACAAACGTAGACTCTCTAAAGAAAATCAATGTTTCCATAGAGTTTCGTAAACGAAAAACAAACTGTAGGTTAAAAATTTGGTTTTTAAAAGTCCCGTGTTATTAAAAAGCGCTGAGGAATAGCTAGAACATGACTTGCAGAATAATCTAAGTACACAGTCATAACATACATTTCGTCATTGCAGATTTCTGGTTTCTCCATACGATAGCCAGTTTTCAAAAGGCGAAGCAGTTCCCTGTTGTTAATTGTTGGATATGGAGTGCCACCTAAATACGAGTGAATAAGAATTAATCTTTGTCCTGAAATAACTTTAAAACATACAATAAAAGAATAAAATTGGGGGAAAACTAATAAAACTTCCTGATCTAAATTCCAGAAATTTATTTGGAAAAAAAAATTAATCTAGAATTTTCAGATACAATCCAATCTGTTGCAGTGGAAACCAGTTCATGCAGGCTGTAAATTGTGCAAATCATGATGGAAACTTGTTTAATCTGAGAATGTTTGAAACCCTTTTAAGAGCTAGTTTCAAAGTTGCCCACAAAAAAATTATACTTTAAAATTAAATGACGTAGTGATAAGATGGAAAAGACCTAAACTGATGCTACAGGAAAGCGAAAGTTTCAGTTCAAATATGGGCGGGTGAAGAATTCAACGGCAGTATCTTTTTCGTTCCCTCGTGACAGTAAAAGCTCCCTTATATAACCATTGTAACGCAGTAATAAAAAAAAACTGTTCTAAACCGAAGGTACTTTAGAAGTTTTCAGGAACCACAACTCACGAGTAAAAATTACGCGTGAAAACTCACCAAGTGTGACCAACTCCCATAAGAGAACACCAAAGGCCCATCTAACAATAAACAACAAGTACAATTATTATTAGTCCAAATACTCAAGAAGCGTTACATGCTAGCGACAGGGCGCGCCTCTTTGCTGATAAGTGAAAGAACAGCGTACAACGTATCTCATAAAGCAATTAATTCAAGAATTTCAGTTATACCGTACTCGTTTGCTATCAATCAATAGAATGAATGACACTTTTTGGTTAGTCACCACATATAGAGTAATCCAAGATAGTTTAGATAGTTTTGTGGGGATTCTGGATTCAACACTGTAGATCTCGGATTCTAGGTACTGGTACTAGATTCTCATGGAACTTGGATTTCGGATTCCAATCGTTGGCGGGATTTTCCGGATTCCTTAAGCTGTACATTCCTTACTCCAAAGTCCTGAATTCCGGATTGCACAAGCGAAAATATGTCCGTTTCCTGATTTCAGAAACAAACATTTACAGGAATCCGGTACCCAGATTACCTTACCTGAGGCGAGTTTAGGGAGGAACAGTCAGTGGTCAGTAATTTAAAGCTTAAGCCATCGATCTTAGCTTACATCAGTATTTATAAAGTTGTCTTGATAGGAGTTTAAACATTAGTTTATCCTTTGACGCATAACTATAGAAAATACTTACACATCGCTCTGTGAGGTGAATGTTTGATCAAAAATGGCTTCAATAGACATCCATTTCAAGGGAAGTTTCCTGCTTCTTTTAGCATGATAAACCTTCTCTTCATACACGTGTCGAGTCAAACCAAAATCTGCTACTTTTGCAACTTTATTTTCTCCAACGAGAACGTTGCGGGCTGCTAAGTCTCGATGTACAAAGCCTTTTCTCGCCAAATATTCCTGTTGAAATTTGTTACATTATGTTTCAGTGTTAACATCCCATAATGCTTTTCACTTTAAACTTACCAAGATATTGCCGGGGGTTATATCTCATTTTTGAATCCTACTTATATTTAGAGCTCCATTTTTGTTTTCTTGAGGTTACTCTCATCCACGTGATTTCTTGTCGCGTTATACTTCAATGCCCAACATGTTGACGCCATCTTAGATCAACGAAAACTACGCATGCCTTTACGATTCCAATACACTGAGAGACAGACTTCGTATTAGAACGAGTTGTCGATCTTCGTTTACATGATACTTGTGAGAGATTTCGTACTTGGATGACCTTTTTGTCGCTACGGCAGAGCAACCAGGATGAGCTCGTCCGGTGTGACCTGTTTCGCTATGATATTTTCTTGTTCAATCATGTAATCGAATATGCGTTTTCTCTAACTCATATGCGTTTTCATTAACAGAATAAAGCAATATCTGCATGGCAAGGCCCCCGCTTGACAATTTTTAGTGTGGGTTAAGAAACGAAATATGTAATGTATTCTAATACAGTCGTTTGAATTGGAACACTTTACGCATATCTTAACTGAGACTCGAGGAGACTGAGGCTGTTTATAGATTTACGCTGATACATTCTTAATTCATCTAGTAAAAGCGATATCATAAAAGCGTGAGAGAAATGACAATAAGTGCTTCGGCAGTCTGCAGTGGCTTCGCTTTTCTCAGAACCCGCATCACTAAACTTCCGCACCAATTTTTGTCAGAATCAAAACAAAGCAACCGAGAGGAGAGTTAAGAAAGTTTAAGATTTGCCTTATATATCTGTTCCCATCCAAACATGTGGTATTCTTACCATGCCTTCGCTTATTTGCCAGGCAAATGCCAGTAAATCTCCTGGAGTCAGAACATCTTCTTCTTCGTCGTCGTCGTCTGAGTGAATTTCATCTTTCGCCATCCCTTTGTTTTCAGCTCCAGATTCCTCACCCGCTTTTGAAGACTGAGAAAATGAAAGAATCTGCACGTTTCCGCCGTCACTCTTTGGAGCGTCAGGGGTATTAACGTAAATACGATCGCTCCTAGTTGCCTAAAAATTAAATAGAAAAAAAAAACATCACCTAGAACCAACACTAGAGTTCTTAAATTGTAAAATTGTGAATATGTCATTAGTCACTCCCGTCTGGACTTCCAGGTATAATTTACAGGTTGTAGCCTGAGTATCAGACCTTCCAAAGGGGCTAGGGGAGAGGAGATTCTAGATGGGGGAGGGGGAAGGGGGAGAAGAGAAAGGAAGGCCTGACACAAAACCATTCAGCAAATCGTGTGACACATCCAAAATCTGGATGTGGCAGTGATTGGATAACACACAATACCCCCTGACGTCACCGACCGCAAGAGCGATCGGCAAGAAGCCATGGACATTTTTCATAGATGTTTTGATTTCATGTTACCGGTATGTGATACTTTTGTGGACAGAGACGGAGAGAGGAATTCAAAACGGCGCTAGAGGGCGCTCTCAAGTTCTTTCCTGGAATAAAAATAAAACCCGAGCAAGAATTATGTTTTCAAGGCCTCGTAGTTTAAAGGCAAGATGTATTCGGAGTATGGAAAAGTCTCATATACCAGCTTCTGCCGAAACTATGTCCGAGTATTGGTTTCACAAGACCGGGACAAAGACGACGATTTCAGTGTTTCAGATATCTAAGTTCTGATTTACAACATCCTGCCGTTATTAAAAAGGGTATTGTTACCGTAAATGAAAATAGAGCGAGGTAGCCATGTATTGACATAGCCAACAGCACCAATGCTTTTAAAAAGCTTGACTTTGCTTGTGGCGGTTACGATAGCGTACGTGATTGGAATTCGTTCGCTTCCTGTTCCAAAATTCTCTCACTTTTGAAATGTCTTAAGCTCAAGCGGGCGCCATCATATTTCGCCAACGAGATTGACCTTTGCTATAGGCTCTCACTTTTTTTAAACCTGTAACAGCTTTCACGAGCTCTCCGTGAAGTGGTGGAATTTGCTGCTGCTTGATAATTTCTAGGCATAGGTGTTTCACCATCGCACCTTCCTATTTATTCTTGCAGCTCCTTTCCACCGCCCGAGGATACGAGGGATAACATCAGCTTTTTAGCTGCCAGACAAACGCCTGATGTAACTCTGTAAACAAAAGCAATTTACAATTTTCTGGGGCACGTTTATTTACAAACGAGAGCGTTGGCGATCTTACACTAGCACAATTTTGAAACATGTTATAATTCCTGTAATGTCTTACATTACAAGTATTCGAAAACTCCTCATTGGAGGTTTAAAAAAAAAGCGAAATCGTAGCAACACAAGCACCGGAGCTCGGCCAAACTGTAAAGTGAGATTTATTTTAGGCGAGCTTTTTGACACGTGAAGCTGACAACCCAATGACCGGAAGTGATTTTGATTGGATGGTATCGAATCATGCTGTGTAGGGGTGGAAGGCTCCAGTAAAAGCATCTGTGTCAGGCGTTTCTCTCCTTCACCTCTCTCCCTTTTTCGCTTCCATCTTTCCCCTTTTCCCCAGAAACGCCTGATACTCAGGCTACTTTGGTTGGAGAACTTTTGCCAGACTGGACTTTATCCTGGCAACCGAGCTAACCTGATAGTGGTTAACCTATTAAGCTGAAACACTAAAAGGAAGAGAAAGCCAACCGGAGAAGAAACATACATAACGTCTAGCATAAAATATTCTATTTCAGTTAACCAAGAAAAAAAATGACCGCACTAGTCATTTCTGGTGCCCTTTGAAATTATTTTACCGACTCATGCATCAAATAGTTCGCACGACTATGTACCTGTATTGATATTTCTCCCCCCTTTGCATCAAGTACATATGTCTCACAATATGTTGAGCGGAATGGACTTCTTGACTCGTCTCCGGGGTACACTTTTACCTGAAAAAGAGGCAAAAAAATCATCCCAGTTCCCATGTAAAAGGGAAGATACATTCATATTTTTCTGGTATCCATTAGCGCTGGGTACATACAGAATGACATATCTACTGACTAGATTCTTTGTAAAAAATCTAACTGTAATATGGTTTTGAACATTAATGCGATGACACGGTTGACATGTGAAGGAGTGCTAAGCGTGTTCGGCCAAATGGGTCATCACGAAGGGAACGGCGGATAACTCCGCTAATGATCGTATCAAATACTACTGTACGGCCCGATAAGAACCAGATTAAGGAAGCCTACGACAGAGGAGTGCATGGTAAATATTAACGTCTTTGAGGATAAATCTCTCAAACGAAGTGCACTCCAGGCAATTCTTTTATAGGTCCAAACTAAACAGTTTGGCTTTAATAATTTATTTCCAATGGAAGTCGCTTTGAGTAGATTTCTTTATATCTTGTACCTTTCCTCGGCGCTTTCTGAGGTAATGCAGAAGATCACCGTAAGGGACAAATTCAACCAACAAGAACATGGGTTCCTCCAAAGTGCAACAACCGACCATATTAACAATATTCTTGTGCGAACCCAATGCTTTCATCAATTGAATTTCTTCCAGAAACTCCCTTCTTTGGTCACTATCTGCCATAGCTGTAGATAAGAACAATCGGAGACAGTTACAAAAATTATTCTCTAACATTTCTTAAAGTACATTAAAATCTCCAAAATAATTGTCACCTGAGTTGAATCTCCAATCTGTTCGCAGCCTGCTTAGCCACATAAAAATATAGGGGTTGGTTTCAATGAAAACTGTTGTACTCAAATATTAACGTTAACGCATCGTTGTCAGAATGAAAAATTAAAAACTAGAGATTACAGGAAAAAACTTAGCCTGCGTCACAGACGTAATTTAACCTCGGTTAGGCCCGGTTCAGACACCGCTCCACTTATGTGCTGAACCTAACTGATGAATTAAGTACGGCAAGAGAGCGGTGTCTGAATCAATTTGGTACGGTAGTTTTAGTTAGGTGCGGCAAAAGCGTTTGGTGCGGCAAAAAGTTCGATAGAGTCTGTCGAAATTTTGTCAAACTTGACTCACTAATAGGCTCGATACACGGTGCACCGTCTGAATCTGATGTCGCGCCAGTGTCGCTCCAAAGTCGAACTTATTCAGCACATGAAAATTACGGCGTCTGAGCCAGGCCTTAGTAACGTCCGCGAAGCAGAGCCGAGATCCTTGTTCTGTGCTTCCAACAGACTCAAATCCTGTAACACAGGTGAGGGCTCAGATCAAAGATTTTGGCCTTGTTTCGCAGCCGGACTTAACCAGGGTTTAGTTTCGTCTGTGGCGCAGGCTTTGGAAAAAATACGGAATAATGACCCAAAATTTACCGTGAAGCATTTTCACTGCCACAGTAAATGGCATGGCTTGCGTGATTGCAGATTTCCGAAGAGGACTCACTGGGGGCATCACTGAAAGCCTACGTGATATTGTAGTTGCTTGCTTTATGGTTCCTTTATACACTTTACCAAAAGCACCCTCTCCTTGCTCCTCCTCAAGGGACACCAGGTCACTATCCACTTCCCAATGATCAATTATTAACGCATTGTTTCTGGCAAAAGAAAAAAATTGTCAGAATATTAATTCAATGTTCTGGGTATTTGACTTTTCTTTTCCTCCTGGTGTGACAGTGAAAGTCATCGATTTGTCGTTTGACGCTCGGACACCAGGAATAAAGCCTATCAATACAATATCAATAAGGTGCTGCCATATGTTTTTTTGGATTGACAAAAAGTTTACGGTGGCTAGCGTATAAAGAGCCACGCTGATAACTTGCTGGAGTAGCTTAGTAAAACTGCCTTCCTGTTAAATGATTTATCGCAGCTATCATGTTTTTGTCAATTCCTTTTTTTGTGGATTTCCGTTCTCTAATGCAGATTGGTAAAGCATGCCGGAGACAAGGTCGGCCACAGCTTTAGTTCGCCACCCAATGACGCCACAAAGGCGGTAGTATGGTCTCAACTTTCAAGTTTTAAACTTTCTAGAAGGTCGTCCTACAGATCTACAATGATAGTGCAAACTATTATTTCAGTAATTATATTACAACTTCTTAATAAGTTTACGCGGTAACATGAATTTAACAAACAGTTGTCTTCATATGCAGGTAATCATGTAATCGATAAAATGTGATCAAAGTATTTTAATATTTCTTTACAGTACATCCCAGTGCAAGACATCAAAATCCTGCCGTAAACATTCCGTTGGGTTTATTCTCAAGAAACCTTACCCTGACACAAGACCCCTCTTTTCCATTCGTCTCCTTCTTTGTTTGTTACACCAAATCATTAAACATACAGCAATCAGGGCACCAATTATAACGCCTCCGATAAGCCCGCCCATCTGAGCTTGAGTTAACTTGAAAGAACCTTTATCTGAAAAAGAACATTGCGAGTCATTATAAACGGCATAAACTTAGGTCAAGCGAGAAGGGAAGTGGAGTCGAAATGCGTCCCTCAATTCAGTAGTTTCCGGTATCGTTACTGGGAAAGCGCAGGTGAGGTATTGGCCAATTTCCGGCACCTCCATACCTTGTAACAGTCCCAGAAGTCTTTGTGAACGTGAAGTAGGCTTAGTTTTCTTCTCGAACTGCAGTTACAGCGAAAGTTAGGTAATAAATTGACTAAAAGGAAAAAGTACCGTTTTGGACATCTGGACCTTCCCATGAAATGTCAATCCGATCATATATACCGTTGACCACTCGAACCTGGAAGACAGGCGTAACCTAAAAATATATTGAAATGATACAATGAGAACACTTGCTTGGTCCAAAAGTGTGAAATGAAATAACATACACATGTAAAGCATCAGTATATTGCTTGCAAAATATTTCAGTCAGTTTACTTTTTGGTAAGGCGAGAGTGTGTTCCCAGCTTTGAAATTGGCAGATTTTTCTCGGATGAAAGACACTCGCTCTAGACTTTATTTGTACACCAACGACCTGTTTTCTTCATTTTCTTCAAACAATTTTGAAAATGCTGACTAATGGATGTGGTGAGTTCAGTTCGGTGTTAGAAAGGATACCGTTATTTGTAATAATCTTGCTGCCTGACCAAAGCGATTACCTGAAATTCCACAGAAATGTCCTTGTTGATCCCACTGATGGTAGCATTTGTATCAGACTATAAAAACATAAAGAACAGTCAAACGCACAAATGGATCGGACCAACAACCGTAATAATGCATTCATATTTCAGCACATAAAAATCCGAAGACAAATTTGTCATGATTACTTAACTATAACAAGGCAAGGATGAGGTAAATGCGCGCACTGGGCCACAAGGACCGTAACCTGCCACGCCGGTGTTTTTAGGGGAGGTCGTATTTCGTCTCCTAAGAGCTACCCTAAAAACGCCTGCGTGAGAGGCTAAAACTAACTTAGCGTAACATGTATTATTGTTTTTCTGTTCACATTTCGGAGTTATATTCTCAAAATAAAATAACATTGTAGAAACCACAACTATTCTCAAACCCCGGGGGAGCCCCCCTTAATGGCAGTAGACCTGCACCGTTCTAAACCTCTTATTTCACTGGTCCCCATTAATCTGCACTTCCTTTGTTTTCAGGGATAGGGGCATTGCTATGTGAAAATCCCTATTGTTTTCCCAGCTAATCAAAAACAATCTTTCAAACAGCTGCGGGATCGCCCCTTGATGGCCTATACCGGAAGGCTCCGCCCGAAGGGGGTACCTTTTTTCGGGCTGCAGGTATATGAAAGGGTAGGGATTTCACTAGTTAAGTATATAAAAGGGAAGGAAAATCTGTCATTTGGGTCTGTGAAAGGGCCCAAAAGGGCTAACAGATGAATTTGATGGCTTTATAAAATCAGAAAGCGTTCTATTTTTGTGATTGATACCTATTTAAAAGACGGTGCATTTACAGCTGTCAAAAGGGATGCAAAGTTCTAAACAAGGTATGTGAAAGGGGTACCTTTAATATGCCAAAAAAAATGGTACATAAAACTTGGTAAGTTGTTGGACCGCGGGGCGGAGCCTAGCCATATAAAACTTCGTTGAGTACTTAAAAACTTCTGCAGTGATTCCTAAGAAACACTCATCATTCTTTTCAACTTACAGTATGAACACCAGCGTAAACATTGATGCCTCTCTTTCGCCTTTTTGGGTCAGATATAGGCAAAACTTTGTATGTATAGTATTTAACTCCACTGTGTGTGAACAATGGTTTCTCCCACCAAACTGTTGTGCTAAACGTATTGTTAGGACCAGCAACCTGGACGCCATGCTTCAACCCTATCACCTTTACGAGCTCCTCGTTGGGTTCTAGTGAAAAAGTATATCAGAAAAAAAAACAAGGATTTCTCAGTTCATGAAAAAGTGATACGCCAATAAAGATAAATTATACAATGACCTGCTAAGTGAAAAATTTAAATTCTATATTTTTACAGGTAAGACTTGACCTAAATCTCGCTGAAAATTCTTAAAAAAAGATCTGACAGGACTTCAGAAATCCACTAGCAATTTTTTTTTCCGAAGTAACTATTTCTATAGTGGACATCAGAATACCGCTCAGAAAGTTAAAAAATGGTGAAGACAGATTCAAAACCATTGTGCAACAGTTTACTTTGTTATGTAACAATAGATGTTTCTTTCTAGCCAGCTTATTTAAAGACTCATGCAATGCAATTATTCCTCACTTCTTTAGTGGTCGTAAACGTTCGTTTATTCAGCAGATTTTCATTCTATTTCTTCCTTAAACACTTGCACTTTTACCCCATTTTCTTAACTACAATGGTCGTCCTTGTAGACAGTCGAGGCGGTTGAGGTACAACACAGCAACACCGTAGTCTATCCTGAACGCACTTTTACCGCATCGCAGAATCATACATGTATCAGTTTGGATCAACAACAGTTTAGAAGCGTCCGTTTTCCCTTAAAATCGAAGCAATTAATATTTCAAGCAATGCCGGCACGGCCTCTTCCTTGGCATGCAGTTGGCGGCGTGATTTGAATAGCACAATAAAACGGCTCTTGTAACATGACCACGAAAAAAACTGATAAAACATAATAAGGAGCTTAAGATACGGAGACTACGGACTGCGAACTACGGCTGGACGAGCGTTGTCCTTTGTTCGTAGCACTGTGTTGAGTCGTGCAAATATAGAACGTTAAGATTGCACTACAGACAGTAGACTACGAGAGAAGAGGCGGAGAGGAAAACAACACGCAAAGATTTTATTCTTTTCATCAGGGGCACCCAACGAGAATATAGTTCAAAACCACTTAAACTTAGCATTGTTAAACGTATTTTAGTATTCGAACAGTACATATAGGCATATTTTTATCCCCTAGAAATTTCTCATCTGTTCGGATTTCCCAGCTGAAAGTCTAGTGATCCGAAAATTATAGGGATCAAACTTACCTTTTCGAAAATTTCAGCCAGAATAAAGGCTCCCGAAAATTGTAGGTAACCTTTTTAGAGTAAAAATCCGTTAAAATGGGCAATTATACCATTTTTAGATGTTCGAAAATCCTAGGAGAGGCAGGCAAGCAAGAAATTCTACAACAAATGTTCCGAAAATTCTAGATCTCAAATTGTCTTCCGAACAGATATTTTCCGAAAATTGACGTTGGGTGACCCGTTTTCATCCCAGTTCACAAAAATGCAACGGTCAGTTTTGCATGTGATCTTATCTTTAGAACAATGAACAAATTCTTCCATACTTGAAGAAAGCAATTACGTTGGGTGAAATTGGTGAACAAAGTTTTGGTTACACAGGTTTTATTTTTTTCGCCCATAAATTCTTATGTCAGATATTAAAGAAAGAGACAGAAATAGTAATAGCTCATTTATTAGATTTAGAAGATGGACTTCTCAGACTACTGATCTGATTTAGTTTGAAGTATCGAAATGCCGAGTTTCGATTGTCTCGAAGATGTTTACATCATTTTCATTCAGCAAATGTGATACAAAAACTCGCATAAACAAAGGTTACACAAGTAGAAAGACACAATAATCAGTTCGAAGAAACATTGAAACTTTTCAAGTGCGAAGAGAAAGTAAATTACCTGCATGATTTCTCTTCTCCTCGGCCGTCAATCGGAATTCTGCGTAAAAACAGCTAAGCTTATTTAATATGAGCTTAGCTAGATAAAAATGTAGTCACAACAGTGGATTAAAGCGTAAATCTGAGCAGAAATAAGACACAACTTACATATTTCGCCTCCCTCTCACTAAAGCAGGTGAACTGAAAACTCTTTTACGAAAAGACGAGATTCTTGAAGTACCGAGACGGCAAAATACGAGCAAAATGTTCTCCGTAGTCCCGACCACGCGAAACAGCTCAACAACTCACCGTAGCCGCAGGACTACGCGGGAAAAACCGCCGCCCGGTTAGCTCAGTTGGGAGAGCGCCGGTCTGCTGAGCGGGAGGCCGTAGGTTCAAAACCCCGGCCGGACCAACACTCAGGGTCTTTAAAATAACTGAGGAGAAAGTGCTGCCTTTGTAATAACATCTGCAAATGGTTAGACTTTCTAGTCTTCTCGGATAAGGACGATAAACCGTAAGCCCCGTCTCACAAGCCCTTGCACATGTAATAAATCTGTGGGACGTTAAAGAACCCACACACTCTTTGTAAAGAGTAGGGCACGTAGTGCCCGGTGTTGTGGTCTATCTCACTTTCACACTGATGTATGGGGGCATCATCACTCATTCCTTCATTACTTGTAAACTGCACCTTAAGCAGTCTGGCAAAGTCCCCCAACCAGTGTTGTAAATTATCCCTGAAAAGCCCTGAGGGGAGTGGATAATAAGATATTTACAGTCAATGTGCATTTACAGTCACGTGGTCTTGATCATGCGCAGTAGCATCTTTAACCGTAGTCGTAGTCCGTAGTCGCCGTATCTTAAACTCCCTATTAAGTCACCGCTTGACAGCTAAACCAATCATGTTTCAACAAAAGGTTAAACAAGGTCACATTTCACAGTCGAGCTTTCTTTAGCATCAAGAAATGTCTCTTTTTCTTTCAAGTTTCCACATTCCTTTTTCTCAGGTTTTAGTATGATTTCATTTTTTTTTCAAAATAGGACAGAGTTGCTTTATTTTTAGTAATAACTGTCTGGTAGTTGAGCGCAAGCTTTGCGAACATGTCAAACAGTCTTCACCGATCAATCCCGGATCGAGATGCTCTTGGAAAAATGATAAAATTTCAAGCATATTGTGGCTGATACATCAGGATCTCAAAAACCAAACAGGTAATCTTTATCGATCTTTATTATGCTAAGGTATTGTTACGTTCGGCCACATAGGAAAATGTTCAGAAGACTGAGCAGATTACTCAACCTTGCTAAGTCACGTTGCACCAAAATGTTTTGTTTGAACTCTCTCGGGACGTAAAACACGTGTCTCCCTTTGGCACTTTAATTCAACTGAAAAAATCTTTTATTGGCAATTGTGCTATTTATGTCAGCTAACAAATCTTTATAAAAAATAAAATTTATAAACCTGGCCTTGCGTGAAAATTGTCTTTGGTCAATCATTTATTAAATGAGAATGGTTTATGTCTGCAACTACAGTAATTTATTAAGCCACCAGAGGTCAAAAAAGAGGGGTATTAATTGTCTCAACAAGATGTTCGCAATATGGATGCAAAAACTGGAAGCGGTGTCTCAGTCCTTTTTAAAAAATCTATATTCTATAAAAAACTTACAAACTGAATGATTTTGGCCTGTGCGGCTGAGAGACATTAAATTCTGTCTAAAAACTTCAACAAGAGCCAGATCCGCATTAAAAATGGTCGAAAGTGGTATAACATGGTCTTGACTCACTTCAATATATTCTTTCAAAAAAAAAAAAAATTGTTTTAAAGTGATACAAATGCATTCCTTTTTTGCCTGTCTGCGAAATAATTTATGAAATACTCAACAAGAACTGATTTCTATTATTGAGTCAGACCAAGGATTGGAGATGGTCGAACATGGTTTTTCCTGGTCTTGAGTCACTTCAATATTTGCCTCGAGAAAAATAAAACAAAGCAGAAATTTTATCGTACACTTAAAGTTAATCACATAAACATAACTAGTTTGTTGTTTTCTGTTACTGATTTAATAAAAGGCAATAATTTATTTTGTAACCATGGTTGGTAATGTACCATGGTCGAGAGCTGATAACAGACCACGGTCACACACCACAGTCACACTATCGCCGAAAATGGTCAAACGTAGTTGACAATCAAAAACCATGATACCATGGTCAAACTACTGTTGCCGACCCGGGGCTTTTTTATGAAATAAAGACCAGTAAACGAAGTAATCTGTATTCACTGTAAAGGAATTGGCAATTAGCGATACTAAAGATCATAAATAACGTAGTGAGAAACACCTTAAGAGAAAACGGAAAAGTTTTATGTGTTTTATTCATGTGTAAATATCATTCCATCAAAGCGTTTATTGATAGCCCACGTTCGATTTATTAAAATTCTAATATGGCTTTCTGGTCATTTTTCTAAATTTTTTTTTGGTTTTCGTCGTGCTCAAGTCTCTTCTGGGGACTGCGAGACAATGGGTTCGTGAAATTTGTGCAATTTTGACCCGTAGCCTGGGAGTTATGTTAGAACGTTAATATATCGAACTTGGGCTATTCAGGATTTATAGTTCTATGGTCTCTTGGAAGTTCGAAAATATCTTTGCGTTTGTTAAATAACCCGTTAAATTCCTTTATATCATGAGCCATTTTATCAGCTGCTCGTAATGTTACACATGTACGTTTGGCTTTGCTAAGTAATCAATTGTGGATAATTGGGCAATCTAGGTGGTAATGGTAATATTCTAACCTGGTGCAGTAACCATAACTTGACTTTCCAGTCTCTGGATATTTCCGTTGCCGAACACAGGCGTCACCTACAATACAACACCAACTTGTTCTGATTCAAAATTTTGCTTTGAGAAGTAAATGTAATTGTCGTATTTTGTCTTTAACAATAAAAAATTTAAGTACCTACCTTTAGCGTTACAATTTCCTTTGGCCTCACTCCGATCATCTCAAATTCTGGTTTCGTCTGGCAACGAACGTCAAAAATCAGATTCAGTATGAGAAAAGCAACTGGCTTCAAAGACTCCTGACGTTTTTAACTTTCTTTGAGAACTACATATTTCACGTTATCTAGTTTTGTTTCTCAAAAATTATTTTTCACACATTCTCAAACATGTGTTTTAAGGAGCTGACTTATTTATCTTTGCCAAGGCATATTTGGTAAATCATTACGTCGTTTTTGTCAGTAGAGAACAATCACCAATACAAATTATGTGGCATGACTTCCGAATAAATATCAAGGGATGTAACGCTTCAAAATGTTGGTAAACCGTGTTGGCATTAGTTCGTCGTAAAGTTATCATCAGTGGTTTGAATTCAAGGCCTCTACAAGAAGGGTGTCGCTTTTTGTGATGGAAAAATAATGAGGCTTGTATGAGAAATATGACGGTTTTCGCCGACTTTAAGGTGACTCGACCCAGTTTTTTTTAGGGGGTACCATCCTACTTTGAAGCTCTATGGTATCCCCACCTTTACTTTTATCGTAAGTCTAACACATAGAATGGATAACATATAGATCAATCTACAATATAACATAAAATTTTTGGCGATCGGAGTAAATGTCACGTGGTTATAATGCCACGCCCCTTTGAGGTCTGAGTCGAAAATCTGCTGTTGCCGGCATTTTTTCGTGAAAATCTCTCGGCTACACATAGTGCGCATTAGTGCCTTGCGCTGAACAGAGTTTCACCAAAATCGCAAAGACCCAATTCGAGAAATTCAGCGGTTTCCAAATTTAGGTCATAATTTATGCGAAAATGATAAGCAAACTTTACACGGATTATATCTAATAAACTATGAGATTCATCTCTTTATTTTGGGCATCGTTATAACAGATGGGTCCTTGCAAGTCAGCAAAACGCTTTAGGGCCTTGTAAATGCGCGCGATTTCGAGCAAAGCAAACATATAGAAATTATAGTTTTCGCTATTTGTTGACGTTTGTCAGCGTTTAAGAGTCCTTCTCACGAAAAAAGCATTTTCTTAAAAATTCGTAGTTTTTTTTCCTTCAAATTTTTTCAGGGCCACAATTGATTAACTAACTACCCGGACTCTGAATTTCATGGTCATTGAAAAACTGTGACATTATCTTCTATAAGCCCAAACTTGAGTAAACATTGAAGATTTTTAGCGTTTTGGCTGAGTTTGTGCTTTGGGAGTTGTCTATTGTTTCTAGTCTGTCATTATACAGCATTCTTGTTCAGCACGCGTGCAATGACCGCGCTTGGCTGACTTCCGAATGCTCACCGAGATATAATAATTTTGGTACAGTGAGACAGGCCATCGCGTGATACATAGAGGTTTAAGTCACAATTTTTAATCAATTCTCGTGCTTCTTGTGCCTTTGCAAAAAAATCAAGAAGTGCTACACACTAAATCTACTTACTATTAAAAAAATATCATTTTTTCATAGGTTTAATGCAAGCCAATAATTAAACCAACTCGTGACGGGAATATCTCGGTGAGCATTCGGAAGTCAGCCAAGCGTGGTCATTGCACGCGTGCTGAACAAGAATGCTGTATAATGACAGACTAGAAACAATAGACAACTCCCAAAGCACAAACTCAGCCAAAACGCTAAAAATCTTCAATGTTTACTCAAGTTTGGGCTTATAGAAGATAATGTCACAGTTTTTCAATGACCATGAAATTCAGAGTCCGGGTAGTTAGTTAATCAATTGTGGCCCTGAAAAAATTTGAAGGAAAAAAAACTACGAATTTTTAAGAAAATGCTTTTTTCGTGAGAAGGACTCTTAAACGCTGACAAACGTCAACAAATAGCGAAAACTATAATTTCTATATGTTTGCTTTGCTCGAAATCGCGCGCATTTACAAGGCCCTAAAGCGTTTTGCTGACTTGCAAGGACCCATCTGTTATAACGATGCCCAAA